ATATATATATATATATATATATATATATATATATATATATATATATATATATATGACCGCATATTCTGTATTTATTATTTTCTGGTTTAGGGCTTCTATCCCTCTAACTATTTTCTTAGCATCAGGGCTTAATTGAAATAGGAGTTCTCCAAAACTCATTTTCGTACTTTTAAGGTGAAGAAAAGAAGTGAATTACTATAGAGTGTATTACACTTATTTGTATAATTTGCACGACGTTTCGAACCTCCATGGTTCATTCTCAAGTGAACAGATCTTTACAATACTAGTTGATTTTATACCCGCATTAGGTCAGGTGATAATACAATGAAGGTGAAAACACGGGGGGATACATAAGGGATAAACATAGGGGCTGCAGAAGGCTTATTGGCCCATACGAGGCATCTCCTATCTAAACACAAAGATTAATCCGGTGTAATTGGCCTGTTATGTTGGACATTGTCTTCTGTGTTGGCATCGATATGTTCTTGTCTTGTCCTTACTCTCATGGTGGGTAGAGTAAATAGTTCCGTGATTTGGGTGTTCATGGTAGGTCGCTCTATTCTTATGTGAATTGCCTCAAGAATTTGTAATCTTCTTGAATCTTGGGTTTTGTCTATTATGCAAGTATTCTTGTTCAACATTTCTCTTGTTAGAGTAATGTCATGGGCTTGTCTCATGTGATTCCTAGGGGCACCAGATTGAAGATGGCATGTCAAACGCCTCGTCAGCTTGGTCGACGTCATACCTATGTACTTACATTGAAGGTTACATCCTTCGTGGGGGCAAGTGTACATGTATACAACGCTTGACTGCTGTAGAGGGTTCTCCGTCGGCTTCGGGCTGTTTTTGATAAGGAGTTCGGAAGTCTTCTTGGTTTTGTAGAATATTATCAGGTTTATGTTTTGGTTAGGAGTAGTGCTTTTTACTCCTTTACGGATTATTTCTTTCATTATTCTTTCCTCTTTTATATGTTCACTGTGCATGGTTGATTTGTAATATAATTTTATTGGGGGTGTTGTGGTTTCTGTTCTAGGTTCTGAATTATACCAACGGTCCAAGTGTCTTCTTATAGCAGCGTTTATTTCCGCGTTGCTATATCCGTTGTTCACCAATACCTGAGTTACTCTTTCAAACTCTCTACTCACGTTGCTCCATTCAGAGCAGTGGGTAAGCGCTCGACGAATATAAGCATTGAGAACACTGGCTTTGTATCTTTGGGGGCACTCACTTCTACCGTTCAGGCATAATCCTATGTTGGTGGGCTTGGTATATACGTTGGTGCTTAAAGAGGTTCCTGTTTTTGTTATTAGTACGTCCAAGAATGGCAGACTGTTATTTTCACTATTTTCATGTGTAAATCGGAGTACTGACTCTCTCTCTAGGTGTCCGATGGAATCATCGCTTCCCAGGACGTTGAATCCCTTTTTACCAACGTCCCAGTCGACACAACCATAGGAATGATACTGGACAGAGTATACAGAGACGAGAGCACCCCCAAATTAGACATACCTGAGCCACACTTGAAAAGTCTTCTCGAAGCATGTACAAAAGAAGCCCCTTTCATCAGTCCACAAGGAGACATGTATTTACAAATAGACGGAGTAGCAATGGGCTCCCCCTTAGGAGTTTTATTAGCTAATTTTTATATGGGAACCATCGAAGAGAGGGTCTTCAGTAGCAGACAAAAACCAACTGTATACTGCCGTTATGTAGATGACATATTCGTAATAGTAAAAGACTCAGATGAACTAATTGACCTAAAAAGACACCTAGAGAGAGAGTCAGTACTCCGATTTACACATGAAAATAGTGAAAATAACAGTCTGCCATTCTTGGATGTACTAATAACAAAAACAGGAACCTCTTTAAGCACCAACGTATATACCAAGCCCACCAACATAGGATTATGCCTGAACGGTAGAAGTGAGTGCCCCCAAAGATACAAAGCCAGTGTTCTCAATGCTTATATTCGTCGAGCGCTTACCCACTGCTCTGAATGGAGCAACGTGAGTAGAGAGTTTGAAAGAGTAACTCAGGTATTGGTGAACAACGGATATAGCAACGCGGAAATAAACGCTGCTATAAGAAGACACTTGGACCGTTGGTATAATTCAGAACCTAGAACAGAAACCACAACACCCCCAATAAAATTATATTACAAATCAACCATGCACAGTGAACATATAAAAGAGGAAAGAATAATGAAAGAAATAATCCGTAAAGGAGTAAAAAGCACTACTCCTAACCAAAACATAAACCTGATAATATTCTACAAAACCAAGAAGACTTCCGAACTCCTTATCAAAAACAGCCCGAAGCCGACGGAGAACCCTCTACAGCAGTCAAGCGTTGTATACATGTACACTTGCCCCCACGAAGGATGTAACCTTCAATGTAAGTACATAGGTATGACGTCGACCAAGCTGACGAGGCGTTTGACATGCCATCTTCAATCTGGTGCCCCTAGGAATCACATGAGACAAGCCCATGACATTACTCTAACAAGAGAAATGTTGAACAAGAATACTTGCATAATAGACAAAACCCAAGATTCAAGAAGATTACAAATTCTTGAGGCAATTCACATAAGAATAGAGCGACCTACCATGAACACCCAAATCACGGAACTATTTACTCTACCCACCATGAGAGTAAGGACAAGACAAGAACATATCGATGCCAACACAGAAGACAATGTCCAACATAACAGGCCAATTACACCGGATTAATCTTTGTGTTTAGATAGGAGATGCCTCGTATGGGCCAATAAGCCTTCTGCAGCCCCTATGTTTATCCCTTATGTATCCCCCCGTGTTTTCACCTTCATTGTATTATCACCTGACCTAATGCGGGTATAAAATCAACTAGTATTGTAAAGATCTGTTCACTTGAGAATGAACCATGGAGGTTCGAAACGTCGTGCAAATTATACAAATAAGTGTAATACACTCTATAGTAATTCACTTCTTTTCTTCACCTTAAAAGTACGAAAATGAGTTTTGGAGAACTCCTATTTCAATTAAGCCCTGATGCTAAGAAAATAGTTAGAGGGATAGAAGCCCTAAACCAGAAAATAATAAATACAGAATATGCGGTCATATTCAATGAAACATGTTTGAAAGAAAACCTGCTGCCAGTATACACCAATATATATATATATATATATATTAGGTTAGGTAGGGTTGGTTAGGTTCGGTCATATATCTACGTTAATTTTAACACCAATAAAAAAAATTGACCTCATACATAATGAAATGGGTAGCTTTATCATTTCATCAGAAAAAAAATAGAGAAAATATATTAATTCATGAAAACTTGGCTTATTAGGCAAATCGGGCCATGCATAGTAGGCTGAGAAGTGTGTTCTGGCTATTAGGTACGACATATATATATATATATATATATATATATATGTCGTACCTAATAGCCAGAACGCACTTCTCAGCCTACTATGCAAGGCCCGATTTGCCTAATAAGCCAAGTTTTCATGAATTAATATATTTTCTCTATTAAACCTATCTTTATGGGTTAGGTTAGGTTAGGTAGCCGAAAAAGCTAGGTTAGGTTAGGTTAGGTAGTCGAAAAACAATTAATTCATGAAAACTTGGCTTATTAGGCAAATCGGGCCTTGCATAGTAGGCTGAGAAGTGCGTTCTGGCTACTAGGTACGACATATATATATATATATATATATATATATATATATATATATATATATATATATATATATATATATATATATATATATATATATATATATATATATATATATGTCGTACCTAGTAGCCAGAACGCACTTCTCAGCCTACTATGCAAGGCCAAATTTGCCTAATAAGCCAAGTTTTCCTGAATTAATATATTTTCTATAATTTTTTCTTATGAAATGATAAAGCTACCCATTTCATTATGTATGAGGTCAATGTTTTTTTATTGGAGTTAAAATTAACGTAGATATATGACCGAACCTAACCAACCCTACCTAACCTAACCTAACCTAACCTATCTTTATAGGTTAGGTTAGGTTAGGTAGTAGAGAAAGTTAGGTTAGGTTAGGTTAGGTAGGTTAGGTAGTCGAAAAACAATTAATTCATGAAAACTTGGCTTATTAGGCAAATCGGGCCTTGCATAGTAGGCTGAGAAGGGCGTTCTGGCTACTAGGTACGACATATATATATATATATATATATATATATATATATATATATATACATATGTCGTACCTAATAGCCAGAACGCACTTCTCAGCCTACTATTCAAGGCCCGATTTGCCTAATAAGCCAAGTTTTCCTGAATTAATATATTTACTATAATTTTTTTCTTATGAAATGATAAAGCAACCCTTTTCTCTATGTATGAGGTCAATTTTTTTTTATTGGAGTTAAAATTAACGTAGATATATGACCGAACCTAACCAACCCTACCTAACCTAACCTAACCTATATTTATAGGTAAGGTTAGGTTAGGTAGCCAAAGAAAGCTAGGTTAGGTTAGGTTAGGTAGGTTAGGTAGACGAAAAAACATTAATTCATGAAAACTTGGCTTATTAGGCAAATCGGGCCTTGAATAGTAGGCTGAGAAGTGCGTTCTGGCTATTAGGTACGACATATATATATATATATATATATATATATATATATATATATATATATATATATATATATATATATATATATATATATATATATATATATATATATATATATATATATATATATACAAATTAAGACAGGAATTTTCTTAAGTACTTTCGTATTTAATAATACGTCTTCAGAAGGATGGATTTAATGTTAAGAGTTAGATGGAGTAAAATAGATCGGGAGTTAGTACATTTGACAATCGACGGTCAGAAAGGCGGGGTCCAAGAGCTAACAGCTCGACCCTGCTCACGCAAATAATAAATACAAATAGTAAAATAGATACATAGTAAATAATAAATAAATATATAAATGATATATAAATAGTAAATAGATACGTAGCCATACATATTTACCAGCAGGCACCTAACCTAACTCCGCCAGACTTAACGCTTCGTCTCAAAACAATAACAATCTTCTCACGATTATCGGCGTCGTCCCTCAACCAACAACAGTTTACCGGAGGGCCACTAATATTAGTGGCCTCGATGAGGACAGGAAGCCGGCGGCTTGTCAAATGTCCCCTTAAAATCTCCAAAACCCCCCAACAAAGGTCCACAACACTGTTTCACTTCTCGAAGCGTTCACGTAAACTGCACTTTGCCACAAGGGAGAGGCCAGGAGCCCCAATTGACAACTTGAGACAAGCTGCAGGTATTATATTATAAGTTTGGTTAACGTACAATATTAACATTGAACCATGGTAAGCAATTTGATTCATTCAGGAACTGTGAAGATCCAATGTAAATTTAGAAAATCAAATTAACCAATGCACTTTAATCATCAACTTTCACTAGTGTTGATTAAGCGCTGAAGTGCCACAGCCTACGTGTTGCTGTAACATTATTTAAAGTTATTTCATCCAATTGTGTTAAAAAAATGAAATAAAATTCTTGATGCACAGCAATTATATCAGGTTAGGATTGGATGGGTATGGTAAAGCTAGGCAAGGTTGGGTTAGGCTATGCTATCCTATGCTATGCTACATTAGGTTTGGTTTAGTTAAAGAATAGCGATGACATAAAATTATTACTCTTGGATCTTTCCATGAAGTTTTGTTTGCATGAACGAATGGTTCATTCAGATTTTCAGACCTAATATAACTTATGATATAATTCATTTAAAATGTGCAAAATACTGTCAAGTTTGGGTTTTGAATATACATAGAAAATACACAAGCCAGAATTTTTATTTATACTCGAAATAACCACTGACCAGTGTGCAATATGGCAATCTATTACAGAACTGTGTCTTAACATTGATCCTTGAAAATATTAAAGCTTGTTAGGCTCCCTGCTTATTTATTGTAATATAAAAGATAATATAATGGAATTACAATAGCATCATGATTTTTGGTTAGCACGCTTTCCTCATAAATGGAGATCTAATCAGAGTGAGGCAATTGCTAACCATTCCATTACTGTTCATTCCTGTCAGGGAAAATAAGTTGGTTATGGATATAACATGTGCTGTAGAAGGAAGAGCTCTGAGCCTGTAGACATAAGGCAGGAAACTTCTGCTCCTGTAGGGCAAGATTGCAGGGAGGGACCTTGATACGAGCCTAAAGTGTGCATGTGTGTGTGCACATACAGTACATGCGGGATCCAAGAGCTGATGCTCGATCCTGCAGGCCCAAATAGGTGAGTACACACACACTTTGGGCTTATATCAAGGTCCCTCCTTGCAATCTTGCCCTACAGGAGCAGAAGTTTTCTGACTTATGTAAGTCTGTAAGTCTATATGGAATAAAGTGTAAGTCTTTGTGGAATTTGTACACCAGCTGATTGACAGGTCAGAGGTGGGACCAAAGAGCCAAAGCTGAACCCCCACAAGCACAACTAGGTGAGTACTCACTCAATCACTCACAGGCTTCCTGTTCCTGACAGTGGGAGTTATACAGTACATTATAATCCAGTTTTACAGTACATTATAATCCAGTACATTATAATACAACTAACATGGTGTTACAAACCTTCATTTAGGTCTTTGAGACTATAATTGTAGCTCTCTTTGATTTTAATAGTTATAAGACTAGATTTTACATGGATAACCTGTTAGCTGAAAAACTATAAAGAATGAATGGGTAGCATAGAAATTCACTGGTACAGTATTAGACAGGATATAAATGAATCTAAAATGAATTACAATAAGCCTCAAAGTTGCTGGGGACTGTGAATAGTGGCAAACCTGGCTTCTAATCTGGAGAACATACAAGGGAGGTCATCAGAAGACAACCATAGGCTAATATCCTTCCTCTCAGTCATTGGGTATATCTTTGATAAAATCTTTGTCAAGAGACTAGAAAAATACTTTAATAAGAATTACTAATTAATAAGCAATTTGATTTTAGAGATAAGAGCATCAGTTCTGCTTCTATAGTTCACCGCAAAATGATGAGTCTTTCAACCGTGGCGTGGATACATATGTCGTAGACACCTGTAGACACACGTAAACACGTAGATTTGTTCATATGTGTATTGCTTTGGATATTTCTAGAACATACAATAGGATCTGTCATGGACTGGCATGTAACCTTATGAGATTTAGAGTTGATATATGAAGAGTCGTGAACTCTTCTGTACCTCATATAAATCTTTACCTGACTATGCCAGAAAACACTAGTATACAATCCATCAGTTGCAGTACTGAATGAAAATCGGTCCTTCACAAAACATATGAAAAGTGTTGCAATCAAATATCTATATACTGATATTGATATCTAACATGTATTTGTATTTTTGCAGATTGATTACAAACTATAAATATGTCTGTTGATCTGAGTGAATTGAAGTCAAGTGACTTCCCATCATGTGTACGACTTGGTTTACGCAAATTAGGTAAGAAAAACATTAAAAACATGTACTCTGTGTATATTGATGTCATGGTTTTCATGTTTCAGCTCTTTAATCCAGAGTGATATTTTAAATATTATAAAATTATTCATTTGGATTTTCCATTTGTAAAAAAAATTAGTTGCATATTTGTTTTTTATTTGTTAGTGTTGCTTTGGCAATAATGATTAATTATTGTAAGTAAAAGTTTGAGTAAGTAAAAGGTTATGTATTTCCAGAAAAAAACAATAGTTCAGTAATGCACATAAACACACTCAGGGCTGGAAAGTTTTATCTGACATTAAAGTTGTGATATTATTTCTTAATCAAAGATATTAAGTTGTACAGTATGTACAGTTGAGTCTCCTTTAAGGATGTTATTACTAAACAAAAATGAACTTACTTCTCTGAATCCAGTCCTTTGTGACAAAAGAATCTAGACTTTTCAAGTACAGGTCTATATTTTTTCTTAGTGCTGTATCTTCTTCATCATGAAGAGAATGTCACAATAATGTGGCTAAAAGCAAATAATCCAACCCACATACATGTATATGAAAAAAGGTGGTGGTGATGTTTCACCTTAGATCCTTATGAAGATCTAAGATCCTTAGATCCCTATGAAGTTGCAACTGTTACAGTTTTATTAGGTCCCTCATGGTACAATGGTAAGACACTCGCCTGGCATTTCAAGGGCGCTTTGGCCTGGGTTCGTATCCTGGCCGGGGAGGATTTACTGGGCGTCAATCCTTAACTGTAGCTCTCTGTTTACCCAACAGTAAAATGGGTACCTGGTTGTTAAATGATTTGGCAGGTCGTATTCCGGGAACATTAGAATAAAGGACTTGCCCGAAACGCTATGCATGCTAGTGACTGTACAAGAATGTAAGAACTCTTGTACTGTATATATAAATAAATAAAACGTTCAAGATAGATGGAAATGTCAACACTTTCCTTCTATTCATGTGTGGGTTGGATTATTGATTTCTCCATCTTTTGCAGGGTGTACATGTCAGAGATAACGAACTGTAGCTTTGGGTTTTCTGTTTATTTAAGCATATTTAATTTTGGAATTATGGCAGCTCTGAGAACTCGGAAAATAATTTCTCCAACAGAGGAAGTGCTAGCGATGCCTTCTGTTCCTCACCTGCACGACATCCAGCAACATATCATGGATAAATTTATATTTTGCTGTCGGGATTCAAGATCTTCCAAAATAAGGGTGAGTCTTGTATCTTATTCAGAATTTGTCTATAATATTATTACTCTTTTGTTTGTTATATATGACAGTAATGTACAGGTAATGTTAATGTAAAAGCTCGGTGATGTACTGTATACAGTGTATAAGAATATAGAAGTAGCAAAAATTATGTCATGAATATTTGTATGTGTGTGTCATGTGGAAGTTGGTAAGATTGCCGGAGAGTTTTGTAGTTGCTGTTGTAGAAATCAAATATAAGGGAAAAGAATAGAATTAAATAGAGAAGCAGTAACCAGATGAGTTTTTTTTTTTTTAATGAACAACAGTAATTTCTTGCAAGTGTAGGGCAATAATTAGCAGTCTCTTTGACTCCAAGTATTAGTCTCTTTGATTCCAAGTACAGTATTAATTTGTGTGTGGTTTTTGAGTGTAGTGGATAATACCTTCTGATAGTCATTTAGAGTTGGATTTAGTATTGTCTTGTGTCTTGCATACCTTATTAATAGCCAGGTTAGGGGAAATGGGGGAAGTTGGAAATATCCCTGCTTTGTTAGGGGCGAGAAGATTGCACTAACCCTAACTGGAGCCTGCTGTGTCCCTTAGGGAAGTGGGATATTGCCTAAGGGAACGACTCTGCAGCTTGCACAGGAAAGAGCATTTCAACTACCCTCGAGCTATATTTTGTAAGAATTACTGAGCATTAAGATGTAGGGAAACACGTTCGGTTATGCATACAGTTCGTAGTAAATGTGGTTACAGTTACCTTTTGAATACTGTAAAAACTATCATTTTTATTATTAGTTTAGTTTGTAATACACAAAAATTCTGTTATACAGGCTGTTGGACCAGTGGAAGAATTGGTAGTAGTGAGAGAGCTTGGACAGCATTTGGGGAAGATGGTGGATACAGCCTCTCGTAATTCTCTGTTTATCACCTTGTTTCACCCATCTTCACATGATCCCCGCACGCCACATAAGCTTCGCATATTGTCAGCGTTGGTATCCCTAGCCATTGCTACACACAATGTGCCTGTGCTAGAAGCCACGGCTGTGTGGATGCAGGTTTGTTTCTAGTTATTTTGTTTGAAAATGTGTTAATGAGAGATATGTACAATATCATTAATTTTGTTACAGTATTGAGAGTTATAAAATGACAGAATACAGTACATTGTGTACTAATTACAGTACAGTTTTAATTTTGTAGATATTGTTAAAGTACTATCACAGTACAGAGCTTTATATTCATGCTTTATATTCCCATAACTAAATTTATGGTAATCAGGTATTAATGTTGCTTACACTTTAATGGAACCAGTTGTTTGATGAACTGAGATATTCAAGAGGAGAGTTTCAGTATATTGTGGGGCAAATTGTTCAGCAGAACTGAGATATTCAAGTGGAGAGTTTCAGTATATTGTGGGGCAAATTGTTCAGCACTACTGTCAGGCATATTGTTCAGCACTGCTGTCAGGCATATTGTTCAGCACTACTGTCAGGCATATTGTTCAGCACTACTGCCAGGCATATTGTTCAGTACTACTGTCAGGCATATTGTTCAGCACTACTGTCAGGCATATTGTTCAGCACTACTGTCAGGCATATTGTTCAGCACTACTGCCAGGCATATTGTTCAGTACTACTGTCAGGCATATTGTTCAGTACTACTGTCAGGCATATTGTTCAGCACTACTGTCAGCCATATTGTTCAGCACTACTGCCAGGCATATTGTTCAGTACTACTGTCAGGCATATTGTTCAGCACTACTGTCAGGCATATTGTTCAGCACTACTGTCAGGCATATTGTTCAGCACTTTTCTATGTTGAACAATTTACATGTCTTAAAAATTTAGATGCTTCCATTACTCAAACTGTATTGCTCTTCCTTAATCTTTAATCCGGTTCTCCCATTAACATCGGAAATAGTTAGAGATATAGTTAGAGAAAAATGTATTAACATACTAAATATCCACAAATGGGTTTTAGTATCATCAAAATGTTTACTGGTGAAGTAAGGATGATGCATTTTAGCATCATCAGAATGCTAAAGTGTTAAAGAGTTAAGCTTGTATTTTAACAGCAAGTGTGTTGCCTTAGTAGTTGGAGTGGAGAGGTATGCCGAGGCTTGGTGCAAGACTATTTCCAGCTCACACCATCTTCACCACCACATTTTGCCGCCGCACTCAGAGCCTTACCGACTATGGCGCCTCTCTTCACAGCAAATCTCATTACAACACTCTCACAGCTGTATGCCAAAGTTGGTAAGTGATAATCAATGAATGCCTTTATTTGTAATATGAAGTTGCTAATAATGCAATAATTTAACAGTAGCTCAGTTGATCATAAGTGTAATCATATTTTTATTTGGTTTGGTAACAGTACAGTTCACACACATATAATGCAGGATTTACGTTCCTGAAAAATGGTGTATCTAAAAAGATAATAGGGAGAGCTGCGTAATTACCTAAGTGTAGTTACAGGATGAGAGCTATGCTCATGGTGTCTCATCTCCCCAGCACTTTTATCATATAATGCTTTGAAATTACTGACGGTTTTGGCCTCCACCATCTTCTCACCTAACTTGTTCCAACCGTCTACCACTCTTTACAAAAGTGAATTTTCTTATATTTCTCCGGCAGCTTTGTTTCGTTAGTTTAAATCTATGACCTCTTGTTCTTGAAGTTCCGGGTCTCAGGAATTCTTCCCTATCAATTTTATCGATTCCTGTTACTTTTTTGAACGTAGTGATCATATCGCCTCTTTTTCTTCTATCTTCTAGTTTTTGCATATTTAATGCCTTTAGCCTCTTCTCGTGGCTCTTGTCCTTCAGTTCTGGGAGCCCCTTAGTGGCATGTCATTGCACCTTTTCCAGTTTGTTGATGTGCTTCTTAAGATATGGGCACCATACAACCGCTGCATATTCCAGCTTTGGTCTAACAAAAGTCGTGAACAATTTCTTTAGTATTTCTCCATCCATGTATTTAAAAGCAATTCTGAAGTTAGAAAGTGTAGCATAGGCTCCTAGCACAATGTTCTTAATGTGGTCCTCTGGTGACAGTTTTCTATCTAGAACCACCCATAGATCCCTTTCTTTGTCAGAATTCTTTAAAGATTTCTCACATAATTTATAGGTTGTGTGGGGTCTATGTTCTCCAATTCCACATTCCATAACATGGCATTTATTCACATTAAATTCCATTTGCCAAGTGTTGCTCCATATACTTATTTTGTCCAGGTCTTCTTGAAGGGCATGACAATCATCTAGGTTTCTTATCTTCCCTATTATCTTAGCATCATCAGCTAACATGTTCATATAATTCTGTATTCCCACTGGTAGATTGTTTATGTAGACAATGAACATTACCAGTGCAAGAACTGAACCCTGTGGTACTCCACTCATGACATTCCTACAATCCGATACCTTGCCTTTGATTACGGCCCTCATTTTTCTGTCAGGAAATTTTTCATCCATGTTAGAAGCTTACCTGTCACCCCTCCAATATGTTCCAGTTTCCAGAACAACCTCTTATGGGGAACTCTGTCGAAAGCCTTTTTTAGGTCCAAATAGATGCAGTCAACCCAACCATCTCTTTCCTGTAAAATCTCTGTGGCTCGATCATAAAAACTGAGTAAGTTCGTTACACAGGATTTTCCAGATGAAAAACCATACTGTCTGTCTGATATTATATCGCTTCCCTCCAGGTGTTCTACCCATTTAGTTTTAATTATTTTTTCCAATATTTTGACTATTACACTTGTCAATGATACAGGTCTATAATTAAGGGGGTCTTCCCTGCTTCCACTTTCTTAGATTGGAACTATGTTAGCCTTTTTCCACACATCAGCTACAACTCCTGTAAACAGGGATGCCTGAAAAATCAGTTGAAGTGGAATGCTGAGCTCAGGTGCACATTCTCTCAGAACCCATGGTGAAACTCCATCTGGACCAACTGCTTTGTTCTTGCTTAGCTCCTTGAGCATTTTTTCCACTTCGTCTCTAGACACCTCTATGTGCTCTATGTTGTTCTCTGGAATTCTTATTGTGTCTGGTTCCCTGAAGATTTCATTTTGTACAAACACACTTTGAAACTTTTCGTTTAGTGTTTCACACATTTCCTTTTCATTTTCCATGAATCTATTTCCCATTTTCAACCTCTGAATATTATCCTTTACCTGCAATTTGTTGTTTATGAATTTATAGAATAGACCTGGTTCTGTTTTACATTTGTTTGTAATCCCTTTTTCAAAATTTCTTTCTGCCTCTCTCCTCACTGCCGTGTAGTTGTTTCTCGCATCTTTGTATCGCTGGTATGTTTGGGGGTTTGGCCTCTTCCTGTATTGATTCCATTTTTGTGTCTTTTGGTCTCTGGCCCTTTTGCAATTTCTGTTGAACCAATCCTGTTTCCTTGTTCTGCATCTCTGTTTTGGTATAAATTTTTTTGTGCCTTTATCATATATTTCACAAAACTTGACATACATCTCATTCATTTCCTTGCCTAGCAACAAGTCTGTCCAATTATACTCACTAAAAAAATTTCTAAGGTCGCCATAATGTCCTCTCCTGAAGTCAGGTTTTTCAACTGCTTCAACCTCCTTGTTTTCTTCCAGATTATAACGCATTGCATACTTTATTTCCAATAAGACATGGTCACTTTTATCCAAGGGAGGAAGGTACTGAATGTCAAATATCTCTTCCTCCTTCCTGGTAAATATCAAATCTAGCATGGAGGGAACGTCCCCTTCCCTCATCCTCGTAGCTTGTTTAACATGTTGATACAAGAATGTTTCCAGGATGAGGTCTACAAATCTACAGGTCCAAAAATCTTCTGTTTTAGCTTCATATGTTTCCCAGTCTATGGATTTCAAGTTGAAGTCGCCGACTATCAACAGTCGTGATCTATCGTTATCCGCTCTCGCTATAATCTCTCTCATTATTGTTATAAGACCTTCTCATTTACTATCTAGCTCCTCCTGTGACCATGTGCTGCTTGGTGGTGGACTATATGCATTTATGATCATTAGTTTATCATCCTCATGGCAGATCTCTAGTGCTATTATGTCAACTTCTTGTGGATTGGCAGTCATTATTTCCTTCACCGTTAGGTGTTCTTTCACCAGCACAGCAATGTCATTGCCTTTCCTAATTTTTCTGTCCTGTCTCCAAATTGAGTAGCCCCTTGGGAATATGACCTCATTTAAAATAACATCTTCAAGTTTTGTCTCCGTGAGTGCAACAATGTCTGGTGTCTGCAGCTGTATTACATCACTTAACTCCAGTATTTTGATCTCACTCCATCTATGTTGGTGTATGCAATCTTCAGGAACATGTTCCCCATCTCCTTATTCTTCACTCCCCCTCTCTCTAACAATTTTGTAGGTTTGCCTTTATGTACCACTTTACTGGTCTGCCTACCCCAATCACTTTGTAGAAAAAAAAAATTTATTTCTTCTTCATTCCTGCTCTCATTTAAAGGTTTTGCCTCAGCAAGGTTCAGTTTCAGCTTCTCTCTGTCTTCTTTTGAAAGATCTCGTCTTAACGACCACACTTTCCCATCTTCATCACTTTGTAATTTTCTAGCATTCCTTAGTACTTCTTCCATCTGTTTGGCACCATTTAGGGTGATCCTCAAAGGTCGATCTTTCCCGTTTATGTATCTGCCTATTCTCCTGTAGTCGCAAACATTACTCTATGGTAGTAAGACCTTCCACGAGGCCAACAGTTTTATCAATTACTTTCGCTTCTTCTACAGCTCTTTCTGACCTAGATGTTATCTCCTTTTCTTTGCAACAAAAAATTATCAGGGACTTAGTCCGATCAACTGTGTTTTGCACCAACTTCGGGTTAGATGCCAATTCCTTTCTCACTTCCAGACTATTGTTTGTTTTATCTTGGTTGCTGCAGTGTTTGGCTTCCTTTACTGCTTCTTTAATTTTTTCCTTCTCCTTGGCCACTTGTGCATAGGTGAGTTGCATATCCTTCTTGCACTGTTCTATTCCCTGTGTAACTTCCTCCATCTGTGCTGACAAAAGCTGTTTCTTCTGTTGAATTTCCTTACCTAACCTATTGTAGTCATTTATGTTTAAATTTACTTTAACTTCTTCCAAAGCTATTTTTAAGAGTTTATTTTCTTCTTCCATGGCTTTGCAATTTGTTTCCAATTGATTCTCTTCTTGCACAAGTCTTTCACTAAACCCTCAGGACATAAAACTTTGCTATTCAAATGGTCATTACTTTCTTACAATTTACTAATTATTTCTACATGAGAGTTCACTATAGTATCTAATTTTATCATCTTGTTGTGTAGACTGCTTATATCAATGCTTTCTTCATTGAATCCCACAAAATCAAGCTCTTGTTTTGTTTTTTCTCTTGCCAGCGGCCATCTTGAATGTTCTTCTCTGCACTGGAAACACTAGGGCAACTTTTTCTCATCCAATTTTTCACTTCCCTTAGCACATTCCTGTTATCTCACCTATTTATCAAAAGCACTATACCTTTATGTTCTCTGGGACACCACTCACTATCATCAACCTGTACTACAATACTTAAGAATGTTGAAATATGCTGGAGCTCCTCTGATGCAAGTGTAGACCCTAGGGGTGTCACCTTTTGAATTGTGAAGCATGTGTGTGTGTAATTACCTAAGTGTAGTTACAGGATGAGAGCTATGCTCGTGGTGTCCCGTCTTCCCAACATTCTTTGTCATATAACGCTTTGAAACTACTGACGGTCTTGGCCTCCACCACCTTCTCACCTAACTTGTTCCAACCATCTACCACTCTGTTTGCGAAAGTGAATTTTCTTATATTTCTTCGGCATCTGTGTTTAGCTAGTTTAAATCTATGACCTCTTGTTCTTGAAGTTCCAGGTCTCAGGAAATCTTCTCTATCGATTTCATGTGTGTGTGCGACCAACATCGGAAGATGTTGACCAGCATATCTTGCAATTTTAGGGAGTGGAGAGATATGCGAACGTCCCCCAGAAACCCTTGTAAGCACTGTTGTTTGGTGGCTGAAAGGCGCCCCGGGCCTACCTCCTCACCTCGCTCTGGCACCGCTAACACATTCCCTGCCTGGTGTTTCTCTTCCAATGACAGCTGTGCCTCCTATTGCACCACTCATGAAGTAAGTTCTTGTAATTTTATGTGAAGATCAATAGACATTGCACATCTAATTTCAGGACAGCATCTAAGAAGACAGCATTGGCTTGAAACTTGGAATTTGGCCAGAATTGGAACTAAACATGATCGTGTAGTATTTCCCCACGAATTTCTACTTTCTTTACTGTAGATACATCAGAGGCTGGTTTAAAAGGTTCTCTTTGTGTTAGAGGTAAGAAGATTATATTGGGTCAGCTTGAATTGGCTTAACCCTTAAGTTGCACAACACATCATATGATGGGTTAAGTGACTTGCTATAAATTGCACATCCCATCATATGATGTATTGGAGTACAGTACTACGCAAGATTTAAACAGCCCGCGGATACACGGGATTCACCTCACCTTCATCAGGGCTCTTGTAAACAGACGCCATTTAAAAAAAAAATTGTGGGCCAAATTCCCGGGTGTGAGGGCCTCGGTAGTGAGTGAGCCATCAAGCCTGACACATGCAGCATGAGCTCACAGCACTGCTGTTCAGCTTGTGACCACAGCATCGCCTAAAAATACCATAATATACATGTTCATGCAACTATTTAATGATGATATATTACAGAAGACCCCTGACTGTGACAAAAATGACCAGGATTCTGATAATAGCAGGATTGTTGTGATAATTAGCGCTGTAGTGGAAGGAGTAATCTTGATTGGGAGGGAGGTAGCATTGTCTGCTGACTCTGTGTGACCACCTTTTACTGTCTGGACTCACTATACCAGCTTAGTTGTTCGCTATGGTAAACAAAACATGCAGATACTTATATATAACGTCTGTATATAAAAGCAAAAACAGTATGGTGGGAGGAGAATGGTGGCGAGTCAGGTGAGGTGAGGGAGGGAGGGAGGGAGTGGCAGCCAGTGGCGGGCTGCCACTGGCTGCCACTGCCACTGCCACTCAGCATACCAACTTAGTGGTTCGTTATGGTGAACACGAATGTAGATACTTATATATAACGTGTATATACAGTGTAATAACAGCAAAAGGAGTGTGGGGGAGAAGCCATTTTGGTGATGGGTGTGGCAACATCTGCATGATTTGTCATGTTGGTAGGGGTGGCCACTATGCTCTTTGGGCATTATACCGGCTTAGTTGAACAGTTATGGTGAACAAAACATGTAGATACTTATATATAACATCTGTATATAGGGTAATAACACCACAAACAGTATTGTTGGGGGTGAAATTTTAGTGCGTCTGACCTTGAATGTGTGAGGGAAGCAGCCGCCACCTGACTGTGTGTAGCGACGTCTCTTAGTGCCTGAACTAACTATATCAACTTAGTTGTACAGTTGTGGTGAACAAAACATGTAGATACTTATATATAATGTCTGTATATAGTGAATAAAAGCAAAAACAGTATTGTGGGAGGAGAATGTGGGTGAGTCAGGTGAGTTGAGGGAGGGAGGAAGTAGCAGCCAGTGGCGGGCTGCCACTGGCTGCCACTGCCACTGCCACTCAGCATGCCAACTTAGTGGTTCGTTATGGTGAACACGAATGTAGATACTTATATATAACGTCTGTATATAGTGAATAAAAGCAAAAACAGTATGGTGGGAGGAGAATGTGGGCGAGTGAGGTGTTGAGGGAGTGAGTGGCAGCGAGTGGCTGGCTGGTGTGTGGCGGTCACTCCTCGTTGCTTTTTGACTCATAATACCAACTTAGTGGTTCGTTATGGTGAACAAAACATGCAGATACTTATATATAACCTGTGTATATAGTGTAATAACCGACAAAGTATTTGTTCACTGTTTGATGAACATAATAATTGAATCAACAATATGCACACCATATTTTTGAGTACAGCGATGATTCACTCATTTTATTATATAAATATATCACACTACACACTATTGAATAATATTACAGCAAAAAAAAAATTACGAAAAATCAATCAGAGACATTGAAATAATTAGGTAATTATCTCTTTGTGGCCACTCCTGCCTGACAGCTGGGAGCAACAGACCGTCTGGGATGCACGCTGAGTCAGCGCCTGTTTTTTGCCAGACTTCCCCACCCTATAGCAGGCAATATATGCCACTTACAATTTTTTTATTATTTTTCCCATGATCAGAGAACACAAATTACCAGGTTTAGAAGAAATTTTTTTTTTTTTTTTTTTTTTGTATGTGCCTGTGGGTGACAAATGCTAATTAGCCCTGGGCAACTCAAGGGTTAAACACTTCATGCTTGTTACGCTTCGATTCCTAATGATCCAGTTGGTTGGATAACATTTCTTCCACCCATTGTATCCCAGATTTTTGTCCTCATAAGCCTTCCAAGTGCTATACATTCGTACTAGCTTAGTGTTCTCTCTCCTGATTAACTGCACATAACCTCTTTTTAGGGCGATGCCTCTCTACCCCCTGGAAAGTTGGAAAAGGGGTTATGATAATTGAATGAATGAATGATGAATTTTTATAACTAGTTTGTCATACCCTTCCAAATTATCAGCACTATGTTACTGATATTACTTAATATCATTGCTCTTTGTTTATTCATTTGCTATTTTGCTTATCTTGTTAACTTATTTGTTGTATTTACCTAGAAATCTAACTGCAAACATTTTGAAAGTGTCAGCAGCCAGTGGTTCGTACTCGAAGCCCAGGGGCCAGATTCACGAAGCAGTTACGCACGTTCTAACGAACGTGTACATCTTTCCCTAATCTTTGACATCTTTCCCTAATCTTTGACGGCTTTGGTTACATTTATTAAATAGTTTACAAGCATAAAAACTTCCCAATCAACTGTTGTTATTGTTATAAACAGTCTCCTGGTGCTTTGAAACTCATTAACTGTTTAATAATTGTAAACAAAGCCACCAATGATTGAGAAAAGATGTACAGATCGTAAGTGCTTGCGAGCCTGCTTTGGGAATCTGGCCCCAGAATCCTTTTCCTTTAGGGCATTACCACCAAAACCATTTTTCTTATCCTAACCAGGTAAGGAGTCGACCTGTAGGCTTCATGGTACACAACACGTTCTTTTCCGCCACTGACCTTGTTTGGTTTTAAGTGGTAAAGATAATAGTGAGAAAGTCTCCTAACCTCGTGGCTTTAAATTGCCAAATATTTAGAGTTTTTGCAGATTATTTTTTTAAATCTGGTAGTAAAAAAATATTGACCATCTCATTTTTTCTTCCATTGCTTTGTACAAGTGTATGTGGTGTTATGTTTCCAGGTGGTGTGTTGAAGCCCCATTCTTTGAAGACACAGATAATTCTTCAGAATCACAAGGGAGAAAACTAAGTCTGCCTAAACTAATTGAAGGAGAAGCATTATTTGATAATAAGCCTACCTTATCAAAATCAGGACCAGCAGAGAGCACTGACTTGTATTCTCAGCTGCATCTTTCCATTCTTCAAACCTTGCAAAATGTGCCTTCTGTTCGTGCCCGCATGACACAAAAACAGGTATGTGTGCTGCTTGATGAATAATGAACATAAATAGTATGATGGTAATGTTTTAGTTTTAATATGGACTGTCAAGGGGTTAAAATGACTGGATATAAATGAATAAAAAGAGTATAATAATAATAATAATTTATTCACAAGAAGGTTGGTGAGATTACATTAAATTGGTATTTGTACAATCTTGCAAAGCCACTAATACGCATAGTGTTTTGGGCAGAAAGTAATAATAGATAAATCTAAACAAGGTTTTAAATATATCAACATAAAATAAAACTTAAAACAATGGATATAAATTGGATTACTTTAGAGTCAGAAAGACCTATGTATGTACTTGTTTGGAAAGAGGGTTGTTGATTTATGGAACGGATTACTGGGTAACATAATAGATGTGGCTTGATTGTTTTATGGATAGACATATGTATGAATGAGTTTAAGGGAATATAATAGGAGATGCCTCGTATTGGCTAATGGACTTCCACAATTTCATTTATTCTTTTGTGCTTAATTAAATGTAATACACAATATTATTAGCAACTGATTTACATAAATATCTCACTGCTATTTGCTTAGCTTCATGGTGCAGTAGAGTTGATACTCAGTCATATCTTTAAGAATTAGCAAAGCAATTAAATGTTACTTTTATTTTACAATGTGACTGGCTTCCAGGTGCTGTGTCCAAAACATGTGACGAGTGTTGTTGATGCAGTGTGTGAAAGAATAAGAAGTTGCAGGTCAGAAAACGAAGAGGCTGTGAACATGTCACTGGACAGACTTGCTCAGATTATATTAGTTGCCTTACACACGGAATCTCTCTCTGGATCCCTTAGTAAGTATATATTTTTATGATGAAAGCACAATAGCGTGAATAAATCGGAGTCAAGTAGTACTTCTGGTTGAGATACTACTTTTAAACACATCAAGGGCCAGTTAGTATTGCTTGTACCTAAGGAGTTCAGAAAATGCAGGGCACCGGTTCGATTCCAGTGTTTGTCTCAGTCCTCAATATTTATTCATCTTTTCCTTACTTATTTTCTCAATCTTTATTTTTGACCCTCCCTTCCCATGCTTTACTTTCATAATTTCACCTGTCTATGTCAATTTCTCCTAAATATAAGCAGTAATCAGTGCTCAGTTTTATCTTTTCATTTCATAAGATTTCATTCTATCTTATTGTTACTTTTCATTTTTATTTGTAAGATTTTTCTGGTGGAGAGCCAAGTTGGCTCCCCAGAGCTATTCTAGCTGATATGTATATCATTAGACTTTGGCATCAGTAAGTGTAGATAAAGTTTTAGGCCTACCAGGGATCACGAGCCAGAACCTGGCTCCCTCAGAGAGACACGAGGAGCAATGGCCTATAGAAATGCACATGTGATTTGGAGCATTTTGCTATTGACCAAGCCAGGCACCCAGAAATGTAAGTGCTTCAAAACAAACCCTTATTTTAGTTAAAACAACTAAAGAAGACTAACGAGTGGACAGAACTCTCCAATTGAAAATGAGCAAATGAGCATGATGTCACACGTGCCTCGCTGCATGTCTGCACAGCTTCCCCTTCCCCAAGGAAAAAGAGGGAGCCCCAGACCCACCGCACCGGCGATCCACCCTTCAATTCTTGGCTGATGTGATTGTGGCTCGGTTGTGTGGCTCTAGCTCTAGATTCTCGGTGTAGTGCTGGGCCTTGCGTCCAGTACTGATCTTACAGTAGCGTGCGAGCTGGGAGTAATATTCACAGGTACTTAGGCTGCGTATGCTGAGGGTTCCTTTTCCTGAGTGCCCTGTAAGTACCGCCCTGGGGGTTTGGGGTTATCTTCCACAAGTCACAGTGGGGGTCTACCTCTGTTGGTCTTTTGCTGCTTGGTGATTGACCGCCATGAATGTGTTGGGGGGGGGGGGGGAGGGGTTTCCTCCCTTGTTTACCTTGGGGTAAGTGGTAGTTTTTGCACTGGTAGGGGCACGGGGTACTGCGCAGCTAGTTTTCACCTATTACATCAGCCGGCTCTGTTCCTCCTGGGTACGTTGTCCTCTTGCGGGGTTTTTCTTTTCATCTTTGTTTTTGCCTGGTGGGGAGGTCTGCATTTGTGTCCCTTGCCCCTGTTATGTTAGGGTCTTGACCTTTGGTGTTCGATGGTACCCCCAGCTTGGCCCCCGTGAGTGGACACATCCCGGGGGTTCAGTTTTAGCAGTTTGTTTGGTAGCTTTGGGTGCCGGTTAGCAGTACCCTACCTGGGCTTACCCTTAGCAATACCACTCTAAGGGACCTGGGAATCCCCACGGGGGTGCACGGGGTCCAATGGATGCGACCCCTGGGTCCCCTCTTTCCTTGTGCGAGTTTGTGGGTTGCTCTGTCCACTTGTTTCAGGGTGACGCTCATTGTTTTTGCCTCCATCATGCTGCCTGTTAGGTCAGTGACACCTTCGACCCAGAGTCCTGTGAGCTTTGTTGCTTGTTTGTGACTCAATTCACCCAATCCACTGATGACATTATTCGGGTGCAGGCAGCTCAAGCATTGCATGCTGGGTGTAGGTTACTGCAACGTGCTAGGTTGTTTGCTTCCCCAGATGCCCCGAGGCTGCCCACGCTTTGCTTATAGGGATCGAGACTTGGGGGTGTTGGTCACTTCGGCCTTGGTTCCGTCCGGACCCCCCACACTCTTCCCCCCCATCCCCCCCGGCCACCTTGCTTCCAGCTCCGAGGTGTCTGAGGGCTTCGGGATCGGGGCATGGTTCGAGGTTTCTGAGACTCGGGCAGTTTTGGGGGTTGCTCCTTCCGGGGTCGCAACGGAGCCATTTGAATCTTTTCCTCCAGTCGTAGCACCAGGGTCTGACCAGTGGGCCTCTTCTCTTCCTGCTTTTCCGACTGCCCCAGTTTTTTCTTGTGAGGCCGGGGTTTTGGAGGATGACTCTTTCCCGGGGCCTAATGTGGAGAGTCCCCAGGATTGGGGAGGAGCTGACTTGGGAGCCTTCTGCCCAGTTGGACCCCGCCTTGGTTTCAACCCTCTGAGCGGGGCTTTCTGTTACAAGGAGTGGGGTTATCCTTTCCCTCTCTGTGTACGAGTTAGTTTTGGTGTCGGCCCCTCCCCGGGTTCGGTTTCGTGTCCCTTCGGGTCCGTCGGTTCCATGTCCCTTCGGGTCCGTCCGGTTCCATCCTTCTTATGGGTAGTTTTACCCACTTTCTCAACATTCTTATCTAGGACATGTATTCTTCTACATCATGTCACAATCGTGTGAGAATCGTCTTGGGATCTTGCATGACCCTTGGTCACGTATGCCAATGGTCCCATATGTGTCTCCGTGATTTTGTGCTCAATTATCGAAGGTCTCAAAGGTTCGAGAAGCACTTCGATAATTCAAATATTATTGGAACATCTGTTGATTTTTGGTGAGGATTACCGCCTGTCCTTTCTAGGCCTCGTTTGTCCTGTTCCGTACTACTTATCATTTTTCAATACTATACCTAATTATTTTATGCTCGCATCTTCTCTCCGTCATCTGTCTCGGCAATAATGATAATAGTTAAATAAGCATTGTCGGCTACCCTCCCAGAAAGAAGGGTGGAGCTAGCTTGGACCTCATGCATCCTGAGCATGGCCCGAGGAAGATTGTTTTGTTTATGGTCTTATTTATGTTTATGATCCAAAAATGGATTGTTTTGTAGGCATGAACTCCATGCATATTGACTGATGCCAGAAAGTTATACATATACATATCAGCCGGGATAGCTCCGGGAAGCCTCTGGGACTCACCTAGAAAATGGCGTTTTATTATATTCAACGCTGATTTTTTGCAGGCGATATGTGGGACTCACTGCACAGGCTACCGACACAAAACCGTCTTATCTCTACTCTTTTGACAACACGAGAAGCTCGGTGACTACAAGAATTAGAGTGAATTTCAAGTGTTATTGTTACTTTTTAAAAAATATGTGAAAAGACCATTGCTGACAAGATTTATAAACCCCACTAAAACTTAAATTTGTTTAAGAAACATTTGTTTTGTTATTATTGGAGCCCATCCTCCTGTTTAGGTAGTACTTATAGTAATGATGAGGACCATTGTACATATTATTTAATGTAAAAGGCAATTGGAAAGTTGAAATACTGCGTATTGAATTTGCACAACCAAGAATAGTTTTTGTATTCATGTTGCAAAGAAAACCTAACGTAACCTTCCTAGGCCTAATACACACCATCTGAGGCCAAATATAATACATATATGTGCTATTCTATGCCTAGGAATATTAAAGATTTTATTTTATTTTATTTTTTTGGGCTTAATTTTGTTTGGACTCTTATGCAGCGAATACAGTAATACCAATTTCCACTATTTAATTATCCATTACATACAATGGTCCACACATAGTTGCAAAAAGTACTGTCTAAACAGGAGGATGGGTTATTAACTTATTGCTACAGTTAAAGCAGGTGAACTTCCACGAAAGTCAATCTCATTTTATTATTGTTATTTTTAGCCATTTACTGTGTAAGACTAAAAGAAAGTAATTGATGAACTATGTAAAATTTTAATGTAAAAAATGTGTCCCTCTTTTTTGCTTCTTTGGAAGCCATCATAATATGATTTATTATATTATGATTTATTATATTATGATGGTTTATTGGGAGTGATACTTTCTGCTAATACTAGTATTAGGAGTAATACTTTCTGGTTATATATTTTTTAGTTCTCTAATTATGCAACCTGTCATCCAAAAATGATAGTACACAAATTATAGTAACTACTGGTTAAACTTACAAAAATAGGCTGTTACATCCAAAAAAAATCTTATTTTGTGCGGATAATTTTGTAGAGGGCATGAGAAACAAGGCAACAACCAAACCTAAACTTTTCTAGGCCTATTAAAGCAGACGTGTACTAAATTAGGACTATGAGATATATATTAGGCTTATGATAGCTTATTTAGGCCTAGGAGAGGTTAGGTTATATAGATACTGTTTGGCACGCCATTTGGAGTATTGCAGTAGTACAATGTGCAAACTTTATTTGGGTACAACAGCCTGTTTTCATATGTTCAACTAGTAGTTGCAATATGTACTATCATTTCTAGAGGATGGGTTGAACTATGTAATATACATTTCTTTTACAAATGAGTATGCAGACGACGAGTCGCAATAATGTGGCTGAAGATATGATGAACAAGCCACACACCAGGAGATGGAGAAATGACGTTTCAATCTGTCCTGGACCATTATTAATCCTGGACATTATCTTTGTCCTCGACTTGATAATGGTCCAGGTTGGATCGAAGCGCCATCGTTTCTCCATCATCTGGTGTGTGTGGTTTGGTCATCATACAAATGAGTATTACATATATGCCTTTTCTTTCTTGCATCTGGAGACTGTTGTCATTAGATGGGGTAAATGTGTTATTTTAAGGACAGGTCGGCCACACGTGCCCCTGAAGCATTACCAGTAACATACAACTTGATAATGGTCCAGAACGAACTGAACCGTTGTCGTTTCTCCATCTTCTGATGTGTGGTTTGGTCATCATCACTTCCTGTAACAATTCATTTCTGTGGCTAAACTCACATTGGAGTTCCACTCGGCGATGTGCTCCCTTTTTTCACCTTCACGTTGCTCCTTTATTAAATACTATTGTCTCTTACTGTTTTAATTGTTTTTCCTTGCACTTTTCAGCTGTTAAAAGATTTTTTTTTTTCATATGTCAAGGGTAATTATCTTGTAGTGCAGGGGGCTGTGTCCTTGGCTCACAACCGAAGACCCCATGTTCAATCCCCCGTCCAGGACACAAACAGTTGGGCACATATTTTTTTCACATAGAAGTAAACAGGTACAGTAATTGGAAGTTAGGCATCTGTTGTGGGTTTCTTACTGGAGAAGGTCATCACTGGTTAACCTAGCCCTAGTTTCCAACTATGGGAAACTATAAGGTGAAGCATAACAGTTTTGAGTTTTCTTGAAAAGTCTTAAATATCGTTAAAAGGATTTTAAATGTCTATAGATTATGTACATGAAAACACCACTCTTCACATTGTTGTAACTCGCCAATACACTGTATCCATGACCACAACCCAATAACCTTAACCACAACACCGTAACCCTAGCTACAACTCCATAGTCCTAACCAGCACTCTTACTCTCTCTTAAGCCCCATAACCAAAATAAATTCAGAACCATCACCACAACTCCTTATTCCTCTCCACAACTCGATAATCCTCACCACAACCTCGTAACTCTAAATAAAAACCTGGTAGCTCAACCCATATCATAAACCTTACCAGAACTCTATAAACCAACTCTACAACCAACATAACCTTCAATCATTACCTGAGGGCCACTATCACCAGTGGTCTCAATGGGGCCTTGACAAAGGAGGCCTGGCCCCTTACCCCAATCATTATACCCGAGAATTTTTTCCACTTGAATTTTAAACTGAAATAATGTCTTGGCATATACAGCTATGGCAGGTAGGCAATATTGTCTCTTATTAAGGTTTATTACCTTATGGTTGAGAAAGCATTGGGTTACTCTCCTGCATTATGGCTTGTTGAGCGTAAAACTGTTACCTCTTGTGTGCATTATAATGGATTGTTTAAATAAAGTCATATGGATTAATGTCTTGCAATATGTTCAGTATCTTATAGGCTTAGATGAGACGAGCCCTGTTGTGTTGTGCTGCATAATCATGTTGGTATGATAGCTATGATGTATTTTGTTATGACCAACGTGCAAGGCCTTGCATTTTTCACTATTGAAAAGCATTGTCTGTATTTTGACCATTGTAATGTCATTGATGTACAGTACTGTATATGACAAAACGGGTTTGCCCCAACAATTGAATCTTGAAGTAAAGTACTGTCCTCTACTCTATATTTTTCCAGTCAGATTAGTTTTCATTTAGGATGAGCTTTTGCCTTCTTCATTTTAACCATTCTTATTATCGATTCCAGTATTTCATAGTTTATTCCATGAGCTTGCAATTCCTGTGAGTCTTTCATGTGGTACATTATCAAAAGCTACATCTTCTCGCAGTCCTTTGTCTCATAGCTGGTTACAGTTTCCATAAATGTGAATAGGTTAGTTAGGCATGAATTGTTTTTTTACAAAACCATGTTGTGTTGATTTTATAAGATTGTGCATCGTGAGATGTGAATGGTTTCCTCAGGATTCTCTCCACAAGCTTGCAGATATGTGAAGCTGAGAGAAATTGTCACAGCTCTTAGATAAGGGGTCAGCAAACTTCAAATAACTTTCAAGACAATCTTCCCTAGGCTGTTTAAAGCAAAGTTTGATGGAAATAATAAGCAGTTTCTCTGCTTTTGGAGACATGAGCACCCTGGAAACACAAACCGAAACTCTCTATTTTCCGCTTGTTACAACTTGTAATAAAGTTGTTACATCTTGGCTTAACATGTTTATGACGTATTAGAACGTTGTTACAACTTGCTATATTGGTTGTTATAACGAGTTAGGAGGTGATAAAACTTGTTCGAACGTTGTACCAACGTCGTAGTTTCGGTGTGCGTTTGGCAGGCAGTTACTACCCACCTAAAGTAATTAATGTTTGGTAAAATATTCATATAACAATAATATTTATACCTTGACAGTAATGTATTATGAACATTATGCATCCTGAATTATTAATTTATTGAGGATGATACTGATAAATATAATAAAAATAATCATTGTTATTCACACATACAGTATATACATTAGAACATGTTAAAGTGGTTAATTAGTAGGTACAATAGTTGTCTACAGTATAAGCCATCAAAGAATTTCCTAAGCTTGACTTTACCAATAATTATTTAATTTATAATGCTGAGTTTGTACTTTCTTTTTAGGTCCTGGATACATGACAAATGAAAATGTTTTGTTACAAAAAATACAGAAATATATAGCTGTATTTTAAACTCTTTACCACTGAAATATCTAAAGTTTAAATGAAAATATTGTATATATATACAGTACAAATAAGTACTGTACCTGTAATTGTCAAAAGAAAGGTGCTAAGACTATATAGCGCTGTCACTGGATATTCAAAATGTGCTAAATATCACTGAGGATGTCAGTACGCGAACAAAGGGGCATAAGACGAGTGACATCAAAGGTATCACATTCACCAAGGATTCTATCAAGAGAAGTATCCCAGAGACATTAGGAAAGCTAAACGAATGATCATCCTGAAAAATTGGGACATTCCACAAGGAGGTGCAAGACTGTAAGTAGGACACTGCAGTTTGGACAAAAAGGAGCAGGACATTGTTCCATAGTGTCCACAAGTTAGGTGTGACTGACATGGAACCTAACCAAAGCCATTTCCCACCATCTATAATAGAAGTAGAAGGAAGACCATGATAAAGGTTCACTTTTAAGAGTATGAATTTTTTTTTTGTACTTGTAACACCAGCCTACTTGTAAATGGTTGTGGATTTTAGAATGAATGACTGGGTAGAAATCTGAATAAGGAATCCTTTACTGGAAAATGTTCCAAGCACAAATGGCCTTCTTAGTGGCTGTGTCTGTAAGTTCATTTGAGGTGACTCCAATATGGTTGGGAATCCAGCAAAATTCAGCTTGTCACATCTGCTAGCGATAATAAACAGGCAGTATTAGAGTTTGACCACCAAATTTTACCAATGGTTGACTTAAGAGCCATGAGGGCACTGCGAGTGTCAAGCACAATGACAAAGGAATATTGATGCAGAAAAAGCAGCTGATGAAGAGCTTACAAAATTGCAGTAAGTTCCATAGTGAGGATGCTAATCTCTGGGTACAGACTCTTAGCGTAATCCATGCATGCTCCAGGATTTGATGAAAAACTATGCCAAAATTGAACTACGAGAGTCGCTAGGGGTTTGTCAGTCATGGACCGACTCTATGACTACATCACATTCAATAATATATATGAATATTACTGAATGTGACAGAAATGGCGAGATCAATTGTTCTACTCCTAATCTTCTCTATTTTTCTTAAGCTTTTCTTCACTGGAGAAGGAAGTTGAAAAATTAACTCTGCAAAGTTAATTTTTAAATTTTTATTTGGCCTCATGCTAAGAGATGCATTCTGTTAACCCCTTTGTTAACATTATCAAAAGCAGAGTTCAAATGGATACAAGTTCTTGAGCTGCATAATACATAGTTCTTTCTGAAGATGAGATTTCCATGTTTGGATGCAATAATCCAAGTGGGGGTGCACCAGAGCTGAATAACTACCTTCTTTTATTTCAAGTTAAGTTCAACACACGGGCCTAGGCAACAAAATTAATTCAAGAATTAAGTCGCCTCTCGGACTAGGAACGGTTGACGGCCATAGGGCTAACAAGAATGCAAACCAAACATGACAGGGCTGATCTCATTGAAGCATTTAAAATACTGAACAATATGGAGGATATTGATCCAGACCACATCTTCAAAATGGCAGATGTAACACAAACAAGATGCAACAGTTTCAAACTCAACAAGCCACAATATAAGACGGAAAACTGGAAATATACTTTTTTCACTAAGAGGGTTATAAACCCTGTATATAATAATGGAGGAACTACAATGCCATATACAGTATTGCATGAATAAAGGTGAAGGAAAGACCCAATAAATGTGTAAGTGAATGAAGGCAAAGGTAAGTGAATTAAAAACCAAATTTTCTGATGTAACCTACAAACTTTCTCAAGGTGCTGTATACAGTGTGATTGTACAGTGCTGTGTTGTGTATATAGTACCTCAGGATGCATCTCCACAACAGTTGACTAACTCCCGGGTACAGTACCTACGTATTGTCACTCTTTCTTTACACGATTAAACACACCTACATGAAGGATTAAAAAGGAGATGCTTTTTCACCCATAGGGTTCTTAACCTGTGGAAGCGCCTACCCGCCGAAGCCGTAAACGCCAAAACTCTGTTTGGGTTTTAAAATACAGCTGGAAAAAACATCAGGGCAAATGTGGGTGACCTTTGACAAGCCGCCGGCTTCCTGTCCTCATCGCAGCCACTAGTATTAGTGGCCCTCAGGTAAATTTAGGTACAACCCGTCTTTTATTTCCTACATGTATCTTTTTTTTTTAGTTTTGTTTAGTTCATTTATTATGCATCCCATACCCATCTTGTGGGCAGTAGTGGAAAGGGTTACAGAGGCACATAATGGGCTCAGGGACTGAACTCCACAATTCATATAACTAAGCAAGTTACACTCTTGATGAATTAGTTACAAAATTCAATGCACATTGTCACATCATCAATGGATTTGAGATCGACCAGAGATCAGCAGATAATGAGAATTCCCAGAGATACTTGTAACCGAATCTAAGCCGAACAGTAGTAACATCTAGAAGTCTGCTGATTTTATTGGATGATCCATAGATGTGTGGCTCCTCTTGCATGATAGTATGATGATAGATGGAATTACTGGTGTCGATTTCACTTTGCCTCAGATCTACAAGATTTTGTTGAAGTTCTTGGTGTACTGCTGCTCTCAGACTGCTCATTGACAATCCAAGGTTACACAAAATTTCTCCTTTAAAGGCGGATTCTTTGGCTAACTTATAAGCTCTTATCATTTATTCGGAGGCCAACATGAGATGGAGACCACATGAAATGGACTCTGTTACCATCATTAATAATTTTGTTGTATTTGTGTCTAGCTTCAGACACGAGCTTGTTACAGTTATGTCTTAAAAGAGTTGAGAGCAATTAAGGCTGATAGAGTCGCTTACAATTAATGTATCAAGTTTCGAGACTTGTACACATTTTAGTGCAAAGAGCAATGCAAATAGTTGGGTCTGAAGAGTAGAGGCCCAGTTGTTTATACGGACTCCTCTCTCAAAATATAAGCCATCACTCATTGTCAGGACAACTGTACTTCCAGCTGCACCTGTGGGGAGGTGTAGGGAACCGTCAGTGTATATGATTTGAGAGAGAGAATGGGTCCATAGAATTACCCATATCGACCCAAATCGGCCTAGCATTACGTAAGTAATGAAGAAATATGGTATATTTACTTACTATAATGTTGGTGCTACACGTAGAACATGATCAAACCTATTTTTACTCTGAAATAATCTAATTTCATAACGAAATGAGACGTAAATATGTGAGAGGTGACGCCATAGGAAGTCGACGGTCCAAGCGACAATTGTGTGGAGCGACTTATCCAAGATATATGGTCGCCTGCAGAGTGTTTGCTGCCATAACAGCCTCCTGTACACAGTGATCCAGTCGTCGTATTTCATGGCTCAAATTGTCGCAAATTTAATTGGTAATATTAACAAGTAGAATGTGTATTTATAATAATATTTTTCATAAACAGCCACAAAATATTTAATATTTATTAAAAAAAGTGTCTGGAAGTTAAATCAATTCCACATGACAATAAATTTGTTATATAGATACTAGCGTTATTCGTTGGTATGCGTTCGCTATTTAAACTACTCCAGTCCTTTTCGTTCATAGAACACCGAACCCTACACGCTCTCTGATATATTGCTTAATTAACAAATATTCACAAATAAAGATTATATTTATATATGTTATCAGAATTCAGATATAAAATAGTTTGTGTTAATGCATCACATAGATTATACCTTATTAGAGAGGAAAAATATTCATATTTTAAACAAGGCTTCTTGGCCGACGCTCTCCCTTTCGATGGGAACTATGACCTTTTGAAAATCAATGTTAATTGAATCTATATATTGTAAAAAACGAAGTTTTTTATGTCATCAGAAAGACATATAAGCTGCATGTTAATACTTTGGTATAAATATAACTTAAGTGAAAGTGAAGATATATGCCTTTTTATAGTTATATTATAATTATATTAAGATATGTTTTCCTTGAAATGTAGTTACATTATCGTCTACATGGCTTTATTCTGACATAAAGACCTATGGCGTTACTTTGCATATATGCAAAGTAATTATAAAATTGATTGGCTTGTGTGGAGGCCTTCACACTCCCTGAGCGAGCCATCAAGTAACTATAAAAAGACATATATCTTAACTTTCAATTCAGTTATATTTATGCCAAAGTATTAACATGCAGCTTATAATTATGTCTTTATGATGACATAGAAAACTTCGTTTATTACAATATCTAGATTAAATTAACATTGATCTTCGGAAGGTCATAGTTCCCATATCGGTAAGGAGAGCGTCGGCCATGAAGCCTTGTTTAAAGTATGAATATTTTTCCTCTCTAATAAGGTATAATCTCTGTGATGGATTCACAAAAACTATTTTATATCTGCCTTTCTGATAACATATACAAATATAATCTTTATTTGTGAATATTTATTAATTAAGCAATATATCAGAGGGTGTGTAGGGTTCGGTGTTCAATGAACGAAAAGGACTGGATCACTGTGTACAGGAGGCTGATATGGCAGCAAACACTCTCCAGGCGACCATATATCTTGGATAAGTCGCTCCACACAATTGTCGCTTGGACCGTCGACTTCCTATGGCGTCACCTCTCACATATTTACGTCTAATTTCGTTATGAAATTAGATTATTTCAGAGTAAAAATAGGTTTGATCATGTTCTATGTGTAGCATCAACATTATAGTAAGTAAATATACCATATTTCTTCATTACTTACGTAATGCTAAGACGATTTGGGTAGTTTTGGGCTGATTTGGGTCAATTTGGGTAATTCTATGGACCGCCAAAGGGTTGTTGACTTCGTATGGCGTGACCTGGTAGATAATAAAAATAAATAAAATAAAATAAAATGTTTATTTAGGCAAGGTACATACATACAATAAATTTTTACAAAGATTGGTTGACTTATAGATAGAGCTAGTACATACAATGCCTAAAGCCACTATTACGCAAAGCGTAATAGTGGCTTTAGGCATTGACTATTAATGACTATTGACTATTTTTTTTTTTTTTTTATATATACAAGAGTTATTACATTCTTGTACAGCCACTAGTACGCGTAGCGTTTCGGGCAAGTCCTTAATCCTATGGTCCCTGGAATACTATCCCCTGCCGCGAAGAATCGTTTTTTCATCCAAGTACACATTTTACTGTTGCGTTAAACAGAGGCTACAGTTAAGGAATTGCGCCCAGTAAATCCTCCCCGGCCAGGATACGAACCCATGACATAGCGCTCGCGGAACGCCAGGCGAGTGTCTTACCACTACACCACGGAGACTGCGGAGACTATTGGCATAATGACTATTCGTCATTATGAAATGCAATTATTTAACCATAACAATAGCTTTGATCATGTTCTGCATTCAGCACCATTATTATTAGTTTGAGTAAATATGGTATATTTACTCATGTACTCTGGTAAATGCTAGCAGATCTGAATGTAGACAAATCTACGGAGCGGGGTTGAAGGGTCGGTTTTTCTGCTAATAGGGTAAGTTGCTGCCGGAGTTGGGCAGATTAACATTGCCATCTTCACAACTCCAGCCATAATACAGTAACTGGTAGGCCGTTGTCGACATCTATGCTACTTCCTGTTTAATTTTAGATAATTTTGCACCGAGTGTCAAGAGTGTATTGGGGCAGAGGCAGTCATCCTGTCTGTACAGTTTTATCCTGCCTCTCATTGTACAATGACACTACTCCCTAACATTATATAAACGTTTGGCCAACATTTCCATTCAGGTCCAGCTGTAAGAAAGAAACTGAGTGGCTGTAACTGTTTCGAGTTAGACAGTAGGGATGAGAGTAGTTGCCTAGGCCCCCATGTGAGTGATAAATGGGACCTTGTCTTCAAGGTAAAATGTAGTTTATTATGTAAAGATCAGGTGCACTTTATTGGACTTGCCTGCCACTTTGGCCTGGTTGCCAGGTAGGATTGACTGGATGCCAATCCTTAAGTGTAGGCTTAAGATGCCTATTTAAAGTAGGCTTTAAAATGCTGAACAATTTTGAGGACATTGATCTACACAACTTCCTCAAAAAGTCATGTAATGAACAAGGAGCAACAGTTTCAAGCTCAACATGCCACAGTGTAAGACATTATGTTTTTTTCACCCCATAGGGTTGTAAACCTACCAAAGCCATAAATCTCATAAATAAAGCCATAAATCTTACAGTCTCCGTGGTGTAGTGGTAAGACACTCGCCTGGCGTTCCGCGAGCGCTATGTCATGGGTTCGTATCCTGGCCGGGGAGGATTTACTGGGCGCAATTCCTTAACTGTAGCCTCTGTTTAACGCAACAGTAAAATGTGTACTTGGATGAAAAAACGATTCTTCGCAGCAGGGGATCGTATTCCAGGGACCATAGGATTAAGGACTTGCCCGAAACGCTACGCGTACTAGTGGCTGTACAAGAATGTAACAACTCTTGTATATATCTCAAAAAAAAAAAAAAAAAATAATGCTAACAATGGCTGAATTTCAAACTCCAGCTTGCCAAAATTAAAAGGACAAAGTAGGGGGGAACCTTTGACAACCCACTGGCATGCTGTCCTTGTTGAAGTCAGTCGAGATATAGTGACCATCAGGTAAAGATGGCCAACAGCCTTCCTGTCCCCTGTAATTGCAAACCATCATTGAGAGAATGTGTGTATTTTCAGTTTGTTCCTTGAATTCATAATACGTATTATAAAATTAAACTAGCTAGGTTATTATCTTGTAATTATCATAATGTCCATGGGTCAGATTGTTATCAAACACTTGAGATGATAACAATAGTGGTGTCATATTATGGTTATCTAATAACATATATTTGTTTTCCATTTTTGTTTTTAATTACTTAGACAATTTGACATTGATTTCTCACAAATGTCTTAATTTGTAAGTATAAAATCTATTTTCATATTCTTTAGGTGTTTAAATGGCATTAATTATGTACGGCACTTGTAAACAAGTTGTTGATGCAAAATGAACCTGGGAAACATTGAGTGTCCTCTACTTGATAATATCTCATGATGCCATCATTATTGTTAATGACTATTATACTTAGTTTTAACTTGTTTTCTGTAATGCTTCAAGATACATTGTTAGTTTGGTTTAGTGTAAAATATTGTAAATGTAGTGTGTATCACACTGTTTAACTGAGAAATATAGGTGAAATGTCGGGAATTATATATTCTGGCGAGCTGTCATAATGTACAATACTGATAGGCTTGTTTGTGCCTAGTACAATCCAGTATCACTTCTCTTGTTGTGCTGGTACTGTATGGTAAGTTGTTACTTGCAAAGATACGTTTTTATATAGAGTACATTGCAGTCACCTACATAATAAAGGTAGTGTATTAGCACCTGCATTGAAATTATTAATTTGAATAGATTTCCATTGTCAGGGACAGGAAGCCTGTAGTTTGGCTTATCGAGGCTCCTCCCTGGTCAAGATTCCTCCCTGGGATGCCACCCACAAGCTTCCTAACTCATGGGTAACTCCTAGGAGCTTTCACCTCCTGGGCTAGGTGAACAGAGGCAGTAGGTGATAGGAAATGTGCTCAACCATTTGTTCTACTTGGGATTCAAACCCAGATTCCTGATTGTGAGTCAAGAATGAATTGCAGTTGAATACAGCATTGATGTTTATATAAAGTAGTTGTTTTACTGAACAAATCCACAAGGGCTGTGACGAGGATTCGAACCTGCGTCCGGGAGCATCCCAGACACTGCCTTAATCGAATGAGCTACGACAGGGTAGTTATTTTACTCACTTGTACTGTACCTAAAAAGTTTCATCATTTCATTTACTGTACATTGATATACAGATTCACAAAATCTTATTTTCAAGCATAATCTCTCATGCAGTTCTATGTTTTTCAGAGTGTACAAAATCAGCTTGGTGATTGGCTTCATCATGGCCCAAGTACGCATGAAGGTCATCTTTGGTCACTTAAACCAGAGAGATCAACACGCTATTGTATCCTTTTGATTAGTGTTTGTACATACTGTAATGATTCTACACGGGTCATTTGAAGGCTAAATGTTTGGTTGAACATTACAGGATGTGGAGAATCGTTTGGTAAAATGTTAATATACAGTATGTTTGTGGTATGATGATAAAATCGTTAAATACACGAACCCACACCACATTCCTTACAGTATGTATGCCCACTCAAAATTCCTTGTGTTACTTTAGTAACACAAGAGAAAATATGAGTACAGTCTATATTTAGTGTACTGTACTCATAATTACAGTTTCCATGACAAACCATATATCTGTTGCTTTAGCTCTGATTCCATCAAACTGAAGCATTCATAATAATACAAAATAAAGTATTTGCATTTGGTTATGCCACAATGTATATATATACTCAGTACTATAATGTGTGGTACAGTACTGTATTTATTTTTGTTTAAGGCCACTGATCACACGTTAACAACAACAAAAAAGACACTTTCTCGCTCTCCATATTTATTGTTTGTTGTTTTATGATTGTGTAGATAGGTTAATTGTGTGTATAAATTATAAAAGGAGGAAGAAAGGGAAGAGGCAGTGAAGGTGGGGTAACATCTACTTTATACTGTAGAATGTTGCGTTACTGAACAATATATTTCTGCCACATTGTAATTTTTTTGTTGTTGTTTTTGTAGGATAAGGTTGCTTTGATTGGTTTACTATATTTGCCTAGATTATTATTATGCAATGATTTAAGTTGTTAATCAAGAATCCTGGATTCGATTCTCGAGCACATGCTTTCACCTGATTGCCTCTGTTTACATAGTAAATTGGTACCTGCGAGTTGGGAACTGTTGTTGTATCGTGGGGAACGTCATTGCTGGAGCTTGATCAGTCCAAGTACAGGTTATATAGGTGGCAATCCCATCCGGTATGAAAAACCCAGATCATACGTTCTTTCAGGCACTGAAGAAATACACAAAGAGATCCGAGTTAAAGGGTTTCGTTGTTTAGTCTCGGCTCTGTAGATCTCATTCAAGACATTATTTATACAATTCATTTTGTGCCTGTACTTAATAACATTATTCTTTGGCCACTTCTATACCAGTGTTCTAAACCTATATATTATTTGAATTTAAATCAGTATAAAAATATTTGACCTACACTTGTACTGCTGATAGTCAATGAATCTGCATAAATAATGCTTCATTTTTAAAACATATTGAATAAGTTAAGTAATTCTTTTGTTCAGCAATATAGAACAATCATTTGTTCACATACATGTACCCTATATAGAAATACAATTTATTCCCATAAATAACTACTGTACATTGTTTAATTTTGTTATTAACCTTTCTTCTTCTTGATAGTAGGTGCAGTTTAATTAACCTTTTGAATTCTTAGTCTCACCTGACATTCTTGTTCCAATTACAGTACTTTAGTTTTGTGCTATACTCACAATTTTCTTTGATTCAATAGTTTGATAAATTATCAAACCCCATATATAGGTTCCGAAACAAAAGGTTGGTGCAGTATAAACCTTTTCCTTATTGCTAAATGATTTTTCTGTTCTTTGATTTAATTTGTTTATCCTTGCTTTTGCAACTGTTAGTCCACTCTGCCACAATAGTTCATGAAGTGCATATCCAAGAAAACCTATTGTTAAAAGAGTTTTACAATGGAATTTCTGTAGTAAAAATCTTTTGAACATGTCTCATTTAGTAATGTGATGGCCAAATGTTTACTTTGAAACAATACAAAGACAATCTATCACACTTCAAAAAATTTGACATTGACTTATTGTTGGGTTTGCTTTACTGTTAAATTCATGTCTGTTGGGGACAGGACACGTATAAATAGGCATATTGGGGTTTTAAACATACCTGTACTGGCTGAGGGAGTAGAGAAACTCCCACAACCCTCTCCAGATATATATGAATAAGTTTATATAAATATAAATAGGAGTGGCTTTATATGGGAACCATTCCTTCTCCCATCCCAAATCCTTATCCTGACCCCTTCCAAGTGATATATAGTCGTAATGGCTTGGCACTTTTCCCGATACTTCACCTCCCCTTATATGAGTCAATAGGGCTTCTGCTGTTTCCATTATATTTATCTTCCTTAACCAGCTTAGCAGGTTTCTCGACCAACATCAAGCTTGGCTGGAGGTGATGTAGCAACAGATGGAGTAAAGTTTCAGTACACCCTAGACAACACTCGTCTGACACCAGCTCAGAGAGCATTCTATGAAGAAAATGGCTTCCTAGTTATTCCTAACTTAGTACCACATGACAAAATAGACCAATGGAAGTAAGTTCTTTATTTCAGATAATTTCTTTAATCAAAGTGATATAATTGAATATTTCTACAGTACTAGAATAACCCATACTTCTTGTAGTAAAAATAGTAGTACAATATGTGCCCTATGGGCATATATTGTAAAATATATAGTAGTACGTATATATATAAAAAAAACTGCTGTAATGTGGAAAATGTTGTTTGGTCAAATAAAAAAAAAAAAAAAAATTTGACTATTCAAACAGTAAGGGAAAAAATTGCATGTATGGAGGTACACCATTTTTTTTCTTTTTGCATTTCCCCTTGGTTGGAGAAAGGAAATACATAATTAGCTTGAAATATTTCCTGTCAGAAGAAAGTTCATAATTTTACACTACTGAGTAATATGAAATGTACAGTATTCTATACATTGTTATATTTGCCTCCCAGCACAAAAAGTAGAAGATTTGTGTATGCAATGTAAATAAAGTACAGTATACATTTTTAACACTGTACAGTAATGTAATTTTTGGGAAGATCTATATGATAAAATAATCAATCAGGTCTCACAGAAGGAAAAGATGTAAAATAATGTTTATTTAGGTAAAAATACATACAGGTACATTCAAAATGAGTTACAAACAGGATTTTGGAAAAGGATTTCTAGATAGACCTAATACATACTATGGCTAACACCACTAATACAGTGTGTTTCGGATGTGTAAATGATTAGCAATAATGATGTTGGACAAGTTAACATTAGTGAGCATAGATAAAGCAAATGTAGCTTGAGCCATTATATTATGGTGGAGCATGAGAACCTTTAAATCAGCAGATGACATAATAATATTCCTAGTTTTCATATCATTTCAGAAGACTAAGTCCAAAATATCCACTCAAAGAAATATTTACTGGAACAGAAGATATTGTAGTGAATTCTACAAATGCAGAATAGAACCAGTGAAGAGCAGAGGTGCCATAGGCACAATCAGAGAACATTGTATGAACATCACAGGTCCACTGTTGTTCAACGTGTTACCAGCGAGCATCAGAAATATTGGCGGAACAACCGTGGACATCTTCAAGAGGAAACTAGATCATTTTCTTCAAGGAGTGATTGACCAACTGGGCTGTGATGGGTATGTGGGCCTGAGAGCCGCTCCAAGTATGTGGGGCTGGTGGACCAAACTCACAAGTCAAGTCTGGCCTCGGGCTGGGCTTGGGGAGTAGAACAACTAGAACCCTATCAAGCAGGTAATGCTGAACAGACCCAGTGATGGTCATCTTTACAGCACTGTAGTCCCTGGTGAAACCAATGGAATGGTGCCCCCCTATCCAGGTGATGGCCTACATGCATCTTCTAAAGTACAAGATTACTCCTGCTTGATGGGTTTCTGGGAGTTCTTCTACTCCCCAAGCCCGGCCCTAGGCCAGGCTTGACTTGTGACAGCTTGGTCCACCAGGCTGTTGCTTGGAGCGACCCGCAGGCCCATAAACCCGCCACAACCCGGTTTGTTCAGCATTTTTTTTTTTAGACAACAATCTAGTTTTCTCTTGAAGATGTCCACGGTTGTTCCGGCAATATTTCTTATAGTCACTGGGAGGACGTTGAACAATTGCGGACCTCTGATGTTTATACAGTGTTCTCTGATTGTGCCTATGGCACCTCGGCCAGTTATGCCCCTTATGTGTAGTGGAAATGCGTTGAACAGTCTCGGGCCTCTGATATTAATAGAGTTCTCTCTCAGGGCACCTATTACACCTCTGCTTTTCAACGAAGTTATTCTGCACATCCTGCCATGCCTTCTGGTCTCATGTGATGTTATTTCTGGGTGCAGATTTAGAACCATGCCTTCTAATATTTTCCATGTGTAAATTGTTATGTATCTCTCCCGCCTGCACTCATGAGAATAGAGATTTAGGGATTTTATTCGGTCCTAATGTAATTTGGATGTTTTACTGAGTGGATTCTAACAAAAAAGGATTTCTGCATGCTCTCCAGGTCAGCAATTTCTCCAGCTTTGAAATGGACTGTCATTGTGCAACAGTATTCTACTCTAGAGAGCACTAGCATCTTGAAAAGTATCAACACTGGAATAGCATCTCTAGTTTGAAAGGTTCTTGTTACTCAACCTGTCATTTTTTCTTTCAACAAAAGTCATTCCAGAGTCAAGTCATCTCTTGGATCAAGAACGCTTGAAGGTCACAGGGCTAACAACACTGCAAACCAGGCATGACAGGGGGATCTCATAGAAACTTTTATAATACTGAACAAGTTAGAGGATAAAGATAGATATTTTCTTCAGAAGGTTAGATGTAACACAAACAAGGAGCAATGGTTTCAAGCTCAAGTCATACTGTAAGACTGAGAAAAGATGATTTTTTTACCCACCGGTTTATAAACCCAAGAAACTGCCTGCCCGCCGAAACCGTAACAGTCAAAACTGTGTTGTTTTAAAATATATCTGGAAAAGACCATCCAGGCAAATGAGTGGACCTTCAACAAGCTGCTGGCTTCCTGTCCTCATTAAGACCACTAGGTTAGTGGCCTCAGGTAAAATCAGGTAAAATAGCAAATAATAAATTTTTGTTATGAATTAGGTTAATACTGCCTCCTCATTACTCTACATTCATGGCCATGTAAAAAAAATTTAAAGAATACTAATTATTGCAGACTGTTGTCCAAGTACCGCATAAACACTGAACGGGACCGGACTGATTCCGCATAAGCACTGTACCACACCAGACAGTTGCCCAAGTACCACATAAACACTGTACTGCACTGAACTGTTGCCTAAGTACTGAATAAACAATGTACTGCACTGAACTGTTGCCCAAGCACCACATAAACACTGTACTGCACTGAACTGTTGCCTAAGTACTGAATAAACAATGTGCTGCACTGAACTGTTGCCCAAGCACCACATAAACACTGTACTGCGCCGAACTGTTGCCTAAGTACTGAATAAACACTGTACCGTACAGGACTCTTACCCAAGTATACTCTCAGATAGTTGTGCACCAATTATTTATATAAATATTGTATTAAAAGGGATTTGAATCCCAAGAATTTCCAACTGGAGGTAGAGTAATTACCCACCTTGCCAAGAGATCTCTCATTAACAGTAGTGTTTCTTGAGCACATGCATTAAGAGGGTACTGAGCACAATCAATCTGAGCCATAAGCACAATCAGAAAACTGTATGAACATGAGGTTCCATTGCTCTTCAGTCTCCTTCCACCAAATATAAGAAATATTTCCAGAACTCAAGCAGGTTTTCAAGAGCCAATTGGACAAGTTCCTGTAGGAAGTGCTGTACTAACTAGGTTGCAATGTACAGTATATTGTAGCTGTGTCTGCGGGCTGCTTCGAGCAACAGCCTCTCACAGAAATTACAGATACTGTTGTGTATAAGGTTGTAGTACAGTATAGCTGACCACAAACCTGGGTTTTATTGTACTTTCTGTATTTTGGACGTTGGTAGACAAATACAGATCAAAACATTTTAAAATAGTTCAGGAAACCAATATTTCACCAAGTAGTTTATACGTTACTTACAATGAAGTTAAATGTTTTTCAGAGAGAGATTTTTAGATTTGGTGGAAGGTCGTGTGGAATCGCATGGCATGACAAAAATGAAGGACATATCCCTGAGGAACGTAAAGGGTGTATCAGGGGAGATGATTGTCAACAAGATCCAGGACTTTGTATGGGATGAAATACTGTCAGAACATTGCATGCTACCCCAGGTATAGTGAGTACTTTCATAAGTGTGTATATATACAGTAATAAATAACTTGTATTAATATTTATTGTGAGTACCCAGTTGCATTGCTCCTTTAGGGTCCTCATTCAACCAGCATGCTATCATTCTATCCACCCATCTCTTATATCTTGAATACTGCCTATCTTAATTGCATATTTTGATGTGATTCATCCCACATTTAGTATGTCTGCATTCCCATACTGGCTTGGAAGACATTATTACCAAAGCTTCTGTTGTTTTGTGGATAATTAATTTTGTTGGTTCTGTTAATTCTATAGCATTATACAATTTTAATCATATTTTATCCAGTAGAACAAAAGTAGCAACACCATTCCTTCCATTAAACCTTGCCACACAGATTGGTTTGCGTATGTGTTAAAAATATCTAAATATGATCATACAAATCATAATACAACACCAGGAGGGATGGGAACAGACTAGGCCATTGATGCGTGTAGCCTGCACAATGTATCCATCTATTTACTGCTAAATGAACATAAATATATATTACATGAAAAGAAATGTGGCCAACTATTTGTCTTGCCTGAGATTGAACCTGGGTCCCCTGGATTGCAAGTGGAGAATGTAGATTACTGTACTACATTTATTAATGTTTAAAAAAGTGGTGTTTAAAATTTAATCATGGTTAAAAAAGCACACACAAAAAAAGAATCACAACTGCACTGAATATTATGGCATAAAAACATTTACCAGCTTACAGTATGTTCATATCTTTGAAATCCAGTGCCTGTAGAAAACAATCGTAACCACTTGCAGTTACAGGGTATTCTTTTCATAAAACAACAAGGAAGTGTCATTGCAGTATGGTATGACACTTCTTCTGAATATGATTATATTTCTGAATATGATTTAAAAATGTACTGACAATTTAAGACTTGCAGTTTAGTAGAGTCCCAGATTTTAATGACCCTCATATAGGTCATTAAATTCAGTGGATACAGTAATTTCATACATAATATTTAATACTGTACTTAGAATCAAAAAGTTTTTAAAAAACAAAAACAACATTTGTACAGAATTGCAGTTTGTATATATATATATATTGTTGCTATGTTTACAGGTGCTGGATTATGTAGAATGCTTCACGGGCCCCAATATCATGGCCATGCACACCATGCTCATCAATAAACCACCTGATCCAGGCACCCGTACTTCTCGTCATCCACTGCACCAGGACCTTCATTACTTTCCCTTTAGGTAAAATATGTGAAAATTGTTGAAGATATTAAAAAAAAAATGGAACTCATTTCCTATCTGGCAAGATATACACACACAAATATAGTCTGTATTTCAGGTTGGGTAAAAAATAAGGGAATAACAGCACACCATTTTCAAAGCTGTACTGTAAACAATATTTATTTTGTATATTTATTTCATTGCGTCCTTGGAATTTTAGAGTGGGCTAGTTGGTGTTGCCTGCTATATTAGTTTAGCTCCACATTGCAAGTTTCATTAAGTAACTTCTCATTGATGGTTTCCTATAGTCAGGGAAATGGTGGAAACATAATCATGGTTCCCCAAGGCCAGCTACTGATGACCTTTCCTAGGATGCAGCCCACAACAGTTGAGTAACTCCCAGGTATCTATTTACTGCTGAGTGAACAGAGGCTACTTGTGTCTCGGCATTTTCCTGTTTGTTTCGTTTCTTCTATATGTATAGCCACATACATTTTACGTAACGCAGTTGTAAGTTTGACACCCACAATTATTACTTGGTACATGGGGAACAGCTTCATTTACATGAAAGCCAATTCATGATGTATGGATTTATAAAAAGCATATTACTGGAAACATCATGAATCATTATATTAAGTTTTAAAGATTGAATGGGAGGACAATTATTAATGGAAAAATCCTCTTATGTGGATAGCTGGGAATGTGTAAAATTTAAGGCTTGGTAAAAGAGAGGGTTGTGTAATGTCTTTCCAGGTGTTGTAAGACTTTAGTGGTCTGGCATCTAGTATTGGTTTATACACCTGCTGTACACTGATTAGCTTATACTGTTTCATTATCCACCATCTTTCTTTGGTCCTGAGTGGTGTTTATTGGTCTTTGTGTTTTCATCTTGGTTACCTTGGTTTGGTTTCCTTGTTTCTGGGATTGTTCTCATGAACCATTGCTCATGCTGGGGTGCTTTCATCCTCTGGTGAATAATGTTGTTAACTGCATTGTGTGTAGCCAGACGTTCATGATTATTTTGGCAATCTGCTTGTGGTCGTCACCTTTCTGGGTGTTGGGAGGGTAGTTTGTGTACCAGGTGTGTGCACCCACACACCCTTCCTTTGTTTTTATTTTTTCTGGTGTTGGGATGAAGTTTTTGGAACCTCTCAAGGGAGTTCTCGATACCAATTTTTTTTTGACTTGTTGTGCTGAAGATGAAAATGGTGTGCATTCATTGGATGTTGAGGCTTTGTTTCCCCCCCCCCCCCTTCATTGTGTCTATATGGCTCACCATTTGGATACTGCATGTATCTACCAGTTGGTTTTGTTTCATTTTCACTAGTGGAAGGGTGTGAGGTATTCTTTGGTTCACCTGCAGGTGTTTACATGACAAGCAAGGTGTCTCCTTTCGGGAGCGTTTGGTTCCTACAGTTGATATTTGCCTCATTGTTCAAATGGTGTGCATTGTCCAAAACACACTCAAGTGTCACTTTGTATCAAAATAGCAAAATGCAATTGATTATCAATGATGTGTTGAAAATGCAAAGCATGTACATCTATACGCATACATAGATTTATTATGACGTACTAAAATCTTAACTGAACCTCCCTAGTTGATGGCATATTTTGTTTAGTTTCATTATAACGTTGTTAAATTGATTGTCTATCTTGCAGAGCTTGTTTGAAGGTATTGTTCCCACTATGGTATAATAGTGAGCTCGTCTCGTGTAGAGATTTTTAAGACTTGCCACTGTCTCTTGTCCATAACAGATCCATCAAGACCATTACAGACATGCTCCCCACTACAAGAAGTAAGGTGTATAAGAGGGTGGCAGGTGATATGAGTGTTTGGTGAATCATATGAGTTCTGGGTGAGGGAGCAGCTGAGGGTCCAGCTGAGATGGGAGTGTTTTTTGTTGTAGTGTACAGCCTATATTTTCCATGTAACCTTAAACAAAAGTTGTGTAAATGCGTTGAAATGGATGAGAGGAGTTGATTTAAGTGGGACTCACTTAGTATGGGTCAAGAGGCCTGACTGCTGCAGTGTTCCCTAAGTCTTCTTGAGGTCATTCAGCAACACATTCATCACACAGATTAAGTCACTTATGTACACGAACACTGTATATAAAATACTGTAGTTAATTGTAAAGCATTAGGTTCTTTGTCAAGAGTCTTTCTATTTGATAAAGTTTTTCATTTACTCTGATTTGTTTTGTTTCAAATTTATTTGCATACAATGTCATGAATAGTTCTGTATGGAAAATATAAATGTATTTACAGGCCTGCTAATCGAATCGTTTGTGCCTGGACAGCTATGGAGACAATTAATAATGATAATGGTTGCCTCTTTGTCCTTCCTGGCTCTCACAAAGGAGTTTTGGAGCAGCATGATTATCCTGATTGGGAGGTATAGTAATAGAAATATGTATATTTTAACTTATTTGAATGTTAATGTGTTGAAAGGAAGGGCCAAGGAATGTGCTATATATTTTGGGTTTGGTTCTTTCAGTTATGTTATTGTGAGTTATTCTCTTGAGAATTTGGTAGTGTGTATGTTATTTTTCAGGCAGTGCATATTTAAACATTATGAGATGGAAAAAAAACATAGTTATCCATAGTCATTGGCACACTTTCTCCCTCGCTATCATATGCACTATGCCTTTATTGATTTCTTCACATGTCATTCCTCCTGCTCTTATTTGTTGTAGTCGACTCTTATTCTTTGGGCCTACTTTTCCCTTACACAGCTTCATTCATCCTGCATGTGTCTTCAGTCACCAAATAAGTTTTGTACGATGTGATTATGATATGTGAAATAATATTAGTTATATAAAGCTGCATTATTATTTGTTATGTTTTTCTCCTCACCATAGCTGTTCATTTCAAACTATTGAAGTAATATAATTGTACAGTACAGATAATCAGAAATGATTTAAGCGGTGTCGGTTTCCCGGTTGCACCAAGACCGCTAGACATGATGACCCTTGGGTCAAATCACAAATTAATTGGTTTACGCTCATCATTGTAATTTTCATCCTAGAAAGGTGTGAACAAGATGTATCACGGTGTTCGAGGCTATGATGACGTGCCAAAGACAATGCTATGTATGGAGAAAGGAGACACTGTTTTCTTCCACCCAATACTTCTGCATGGCTCTGGAGATAATCGCACAAAGGTAGCGTAAGCTGAATTATATTTAAATGATGCTAGCCGTGATCTTTTTCCCTATACAGTTTTCAATATTAAATGCACTGATGTACATTAACAGAACCTGACATTAGGTGACTAGTGCAGATAATCCCAGTATTTATAATATTTACAGAAATTAAACTACTGTACCATAATGAAACTCTTCTCTTGCAAACAAAATCCAAAAGTATTGATAGATACAGTACATTTATATAGATGTATTTTTAAATAATGGGAGATAGTAAGTTACTGGGGAAATTAACATGTGCAGCAGAGGCTGAAAAACAAATAATTATCATGAGTGAAAGTGTGACTAACATGCCTTGCAACAACAAAATTACTATCAGTAGTCCCCATGACATTGCAAAAATAATAATATTGTACTTGCTGCATGTTACTTAAGATGGGAAGAAATGTATGCGTTATCTCCAAGGACAGCTTGATAAATGTCGTGTGTATTTTTCAGCACTTTCGTAAGGCAATTTCTTGTCATTATGCAGCCTCGGAATGTCATTACATTGATGTACGAGGAACATCTCAAGAAAACATTGGCAACGAAGTAGTAGAGCTAGCCAAGAAGAGAGGTGTTGACAATCTCAATTTCAAGGTAAACACATAAGGAGGTTTTGTAATGTGAATTGTAACTGAAGTAAAAATGTTACTATAGTAAGGTATAATATTTGAAATGTTTAATTTAGAAGGTAAGAGGAAAAGGGAATACCAGTACAGAATGAAATGTGATAAATGTGATGTTTCATATGGGAAAATTGGTATAAGTCATGAAAATGATGAGACCGTGCTCAGTTTCTACTTCCAAGGAAACTGGTTTTGACAATGTAACCACAGAATCCTTTAGGGGTTGAGAGATGGCACAGTGATAAGCGTTAGACATACTGGATGATAAGTGACAGTGCATGGGGGCAATGTGTGAGACCCTGATTGGGCATCAGTTGAAAGCATGAGGATGCCTAGAGCAGGCATGTCAAAGTGATTACCCTTGAGGGCCATATTTGTCGTCATGAAGGCCCCCCCCCCACCCACCCACACACACACACACATGACAACTCACTGAAGTCATTTAATAAAAAATATTGCAGCATATATTTCTAATTGTAATAAACATATAATGTGGATACAAAATGTTTGCAACATTCATGAATGCCAAATACATAATTACTTATCAAAGGAAGGCACCAAACCGGGAAGGCTATAGCACCATGAAATGTGCAGAATAATCAAATGGCGCTAAATATCACCAAGGATGCCAATACGAGAACAGAACTGCATAAGGCGAATGGTATCCGATACACCAAGAATTCTATCGAGGGACAAGCGACAGCGAGGGACGGTGGGGAAAACAAGACACGCTCGTGGTGGAAATCAGGACATTCAACAAGAATGTACACAACTCTAAGAGGGACAATGCAATTTGGACAATAAGGAGCAGGGCAGCGCTCCATTAAGTGACCGTGAGTTAAGCGTGTATGGGCAATACGCAACCTCGCCAGAGCCGTTTCCCATCGCCGGTTATGGTGGTAGGACACACTACTCTTACGAGTATGCAGTTTGTTACCAGTAACAGAAGCGCAACAATCCTGCCAACGGTAAGGTTGAAGGAATACCAATATGGCTGGGAACCGAGCAAAACTCAAGCGACTTAAATGTACTGGAAATAAGAAACAGCCAATGCTGAATCTCAACAGCCACTGGATGGACCGGACTAAAGGATCCGAGAGTCAACGACAACTACACAGGAAGATTGTCAATGAGAAAGCAGGAGACAAGTAGTTTAACATTTGATTTTTTTTGTTATATGCAACAAATAAGTATGTTGCTATTATGTTAAATAAATGCTCATTTTATATGTGACTTCAATAATTATTGGTGTTTTGTCCCGAGACCTCTCTTTAATGACCCAATTCCAGGATACTGTGTGCTTGAAAAGGTGCACATGTTTGACATGACTGGGTCCAGGTTGTCATGACTTTTACAGATCATATGAATCTTTACAATAAGTAGATAATGTTGGTGGAAAATAGGTCAGTAGATATTTAAAAAAAAAAAAAAAACACAAATATGTTAGTCATTATAAGAATGGGGCAGGGTTTCCTTACAATTATTAGCTTTCTGCATGCATTGTCAAGTATGATGATTGTGTTTGGAAGTGAGGGGATTATATAACTTTTTTGTTTTGTTTCAGGACCTCTGGAAGTTTCGCAGTCGTTTAGTGCATGGAACAAGTATCAACTTATAAGTACAGTATTGGAGAGATATGAAATAAAGTTTCAAATGTAGACATATTTTTGTTTCCTTTGTGTAAACATACATATCTAGATATATATGTATTCTATACATGTGGAATCATGTTATATAACACTATCCATTTATATTCTAATCTAAATTTCTATATTTTAGATTTATACATATTTTATATATATATTTGTACATTATAAGATTGTTTGAAATCTAATAATGATATTGTAAAGACATACAAATCTAGATTTCTATAAATATCTAATATTTGTTTATGAAATTTCATAATCTACACATTATTAAAGATATCTAGAATAGAATATTAATCTAGAATATATTAAAATGTAAATTAAAAGATTTCTATAATCTACATTTGTATAAAATTCTTTATATTACTCTAAATTGTTATCCTACATGTCTAAATATATATCTATTAGTGTAGAAATCTAGAATATCCTAAAGACATTTTGAATATTATAGAATTCTACATTATTTTTTATATCTAATATATTGTATAATTTCCTAAAGATTTTGTGTCTATAATCTAGATTATTGTGCAATGTTGTTTATTATATACAGCTACAATATTAAGAAATAACATTCAATCTTATATATTTCAATAATAGTCCAAAGTTATATATTATGATTATTATTGTAGATATTAATACTGTATTGATTTCTACATAAACATTATTATAGAAATCTACTATAATAGTTGTCATGAATATCTTTTTATTAAATATGTATAATAATAAATCACACAAATCTATCATATTCGATTTCTATAGTTATTATTATACCAAGAAATTGAGATTAATAAAAAACACAAAGAAATGAACTTTTTATTATATAGATTTGTATATCTTGAATAATGTGTACATCTCTATTATGGAAATCTACAATATTACACATTTCTATATTATACAATTCTTTAATATTTCTAAAGTTGTACAATATACCTGATATAGATAGAAATGTTGACTGTGTAATAATATCATTCTAGATGTCTACAATATAGATTGTTATAAATACTTTTCTATATTATAATCTACAAAAATATTATTCTAGCTTTATGTATACATAAGACAAATATAGATTCTTACAATATTCAGCATTTCTATAATCTTGAATATCTGTACTGTATTATTTCCAGATATTCATGTCTCAATTATATAGGGATTGTACACTGACGTACAACTTTCAAGGATGATTAAATAATATCACACTGTTGACAATTATTATGTTTGTAGCATGTATAATATTACAATATATTAAGCATTATTCACTTTTTATTTCTGTATAATCTTCCTAAATGTAAGGTTAATCCTGACACCTGAGGCTGACTTGCGCGGAGGTAATGCATGGTACCAGAACTGATTTGTTGGCGGGTTCATTAGTAACAGACTCCCATGTTGAAGGTGAAGTTGAACTGTGCAGGAAACAAAAATATAACTATTAGTACTGTACTTATGTGAAGTATATCTCTTGTAACACATACCATAAAATTCTAATCTATTAAAATACTTTATTGCGCTCAAATACTCTTCTTCATACATCCTGTCATTGTGAGCCACTTAAAAACAACCATTGCCAAACTGATACTAAACATACAATAATGTCTTTTTATGCAAAAAGCCCGAGTTCATATCTACAACAAAACACATAATATGATACAAACTGAAGGAGATCAACCATCAGACTTTTCAGGGGAGGGTAACACATGCAACAATCAGATTTTGCTATTCAACAGATCATGACAAATTTTGCATACCACATTCAGTACAATACCCATTTGGTGTCGAGGTTTCATGTGGCTGACACTAATATTCTATTGCCACCTCATGTTCATTTTCTTTTTTTCACTACTAATTTCCCAAAAGGGGGTTTTATATGCATGACGAACTAAAATGTTCTTATTTCATTCAGCAATAACGACATTTCATTGGCAATATATGGTTTTTCAAAGCCTAACCAATGCTTGAAACTCTGATTTATACCTACACTAATATAAAATATTAGTTATGCAAATGCTACTCAAGAGCAAACTCTAAATTGTAAACCCCTATCGTTAACAAGCGTTCTTTGACTAACACTATTATTTTCAGTTAAAGTCAAATCGGTTCAACACCTAGACAGTAATGACATAACAGACAAACACTAAGGGCATTTTCCAGTTGGCAAACCAATCAGTAAATTTGTGTTTCTATCATAAAAACAAAGATAATACACATAACACCCTCTTGTTTGGGACTCTATAAAATTGGCAATTTGAGTTCAAGATAGAGTCCCAAACAAGAGCCTGTTCTGGAAACTGCAACATTCTGGAGGACTGACAGTGAGTTTGAAAGTTTCTCTTCCATGACAGACAAGGGCAGTAATCACAGACGTATCTGACTGGCGCAGTAATACAGCGTTCAGTTCTTGCACCAGTAATGTTCATCGTTTATGTAAACAATCTACCATAAGTAATACACGTTAAAAAGACATGTGTTTCTGGATGATCCAGTGGGATTAGAGAGCCACTGGCTCAGCGGACAGAACACTCGACGCATGATCCTGTGCTCCCAGGTCCAATCCTGGGAGCCGGTGAGAAATGATCGCAACACTTTCTTTCACCCTGATAGCCCTGTTACCTAGCAGTTTGTCACCTGTCACAAGCGCCTTCCTGGGGAATTTTAACACCAAAAATCATCTCAAGATAACCTCAAGATGATGCAGAGATACTCCGGAAGAAACCCATCCTCTCAAATTAACGTCCCTTTTCCCTCGTATGCACACCATCCGCAAAAACTGACGTTTTCTATATGAAATCGGCTCACGAAAGTGATGTTTTCTCCCTTTTTTGGTTACGTTACGAGAGGACACTTTCATGATGTTTGGAAACTTAAGATAATTTCCTGCCCTCCTAACCTACCAATGGACCCTTAACTGACTGTTTGGCAACAAACAATCCATATTCTTTCCACATTTTCAAATTACGTCACTTTTCACCCATACATGCAAACGGCTCAATTCAGACCTCATTTGTAAAAGGACATCCTTGGGGAACATACAAGATGCACACAATTGTATTGTCCTTCAAATTTCTCTAGACTAAATAACTGCTTGGATCAAACATTAGTAAATGGATTTCATTGTCAATACTCTAAATGCCATATTATGAAATGTGGATTACGACACAATACACCACAAACTAATTATTTGGAGTGGAATTATAGAACTCTAATAGACCAAAGGGTGCTAGTGCCACACAAAGAACATTCTCAGACGAACATATGTGTTGCTTTTCAAATACACACTTGCTTTTAATTATATGGATGTGAAATAATACAGGAAAATGTTCATGACATTTATGTGACCACAAATCCAATATGCACCACTTGGATGGTGCCCAAATCTCAACAAGCGGATAGAGAAACTTTAAAAGGTCTAGTGCCATGTTACAAAATGCATACCACAACTGATAAACACTAACAAAGAAAGACTACAGACATTAAACATGTAAAACTCAAAGAACAAATGAGCTAACGTGATCACCACATACAACATTCGAACAGGATTCCACATAATTGACAAGGAGGAATTCTGGAAACAACCAACATCACGAACAACAGGACAGATTCAAGCTAAGCAAACAAATTTTTTTCCGGTACATTTCAAACTTTTCTTTGGCAGAGTGGTACGTGGTTGCAACAAGCTAAGTGAGACGGTACTGCAGGCAAAAACTGACAGTACTTTCAAAGCCTTATACGACAAACACTACAATAATGGGAGCCACAGCTCAACCCCCAACACAAAAACTAGCCGAGTGTACACACACAGGTAGCTTGTTGTTCCATGCATGTAGATTTTATATGCATGACGATCAACAATTCAGCACTCTTCAGGTCCCTGTCCAATGATAACAACACTGTTCACAAACACATGCGACATCCTAAGAATGTGAACTGCACCTCTAAACTATAAAAGCCACATTAAATTACACAGCCATAATCTAGTGCCACAGTGGACAAGGCAAATTTTCATTACAACAATTCATGACAACTCCAATACCAAACTACTCTACTACTAGGCCCAGCAGCAGGTTTTTAACTTATCTAACACTTCCATCGAAAATAGTAGACGGGCTTGTCTCAAACCTCCACACAAAAGTAACATCACACGAGACCAAAAGGCATGGCACGATGTGCAGAATACCCCCATTGAAAAGCGAAAATGCAACAGGTATTCTGAGAGAACTCTATCAACATCAGTGGACAGAGGATGTTCAACACACTTCAACTACACATAAGGGGCATAACTCACCGATCCCTCACAGTGTTCAAGACACAACTTGACAAAGACCTACAAAGGATACCTCATCAACCAGGCTGTGACTCATACGTCACGCTGCGAGCAGCTGGGTTGACCAGTCCAGCAATGAGGAGGCCTGGTCGACAACCGGGCTGCGGGGTCCCTCAGCCCCAGCAGCACCTCCAGGTATTACCTCTCATAGTATAAAGGCATCAAATCTAATACTGTATACTCACCAACATACAACACGACGAACAGTTTTATCTTCTGTAGTATTATGCATCCTATCAAAGCATGATACCAATACATTATAGCAAACATATTTTGTGGTCTCTTCTAAATGCAAGAGTTAGGCAACTGTTGGGGGTTGCATCCTGGGGAAGGTCCCCAAGATGCAACCAAAGCCTCTAAGAGGTGGCTTAGGGGGTGCTTCAAAAGCACAAGTGTAGGCTTCATCTCCCTAACTGTATGATTCATCCTAGTATAGTGATTCACAATCGGTAGGTCAAAATTCCCTGCGCAACTTCTAAGTACTGTACTGGTATAACCGAATCTTCGAGAATTAGCAACTCATGAGTACTGTATCATGATTACACAGTTTTTGTCATTTGTAAAACTGTGGCATGGGGGTCCCAGGTTTATGGAATGCTAGAAACAAAAATCATCCCCCCACCCCCAAAAGTTCTAAAACATTGGGAACCACTGTCCTAGTATCAATGTAAAGGTATACTATACGAATGGCTTACAACCTCAAACATTATTTACTTTACCTTTCTCAATGTTCAATTTCTTGGGAGGTCTGGCATCCTGATGACGAAAATAAAAGTCTCTTGCCTGCCCAAGACTCACAGAAGCAATGGGGATCCGAGGATCAAGATCCTTTTCGTCATCTTTGTGTTCACCCATCTTGTCACTGCCATCCTTGTACCTTACATAGAACACAATATCAGAGCTACAAATGTGTATACTTTGGACAATTAGCAATGTACTCAACACAGTACCATTTTCTTACAATTTAGTCTTCCTTTATGGTATCTGTACCAAGAAAATAATTCTGAAGGAAATTACCCACAATAATGTTTCAAGCAGAGGAAGGAGAATTATTCAACGAATATTTCAGTAACGTGCAAAGCAATTATGAAGAACATTACGTGTGTGTGTAATTCAAGCCAAAACTGTCAAGGATCTGCCAAATGAACACTGTCATCCACTGAAACCCATATTCAAAAGGCCTCAGAACAAAGGGAATGTAGATTATAATGATCAAATTATCACCCCCATCTTCAAACATTTGGCAGAAAGAGTTAAGCACAAAACCAATGATTATTTAGCCTAACTTGCCTTGTTGTTGTTGTTGTTATATTTATATTTATATTTATATATATATATATATATACACACACACGAAACTTCTTACATTCTTGTAAAGACACTAGCAAGCATACATTTTTCGGAAGGTCCTAAATCCTAATTTTCCCTGCAATACGACCTCCCAAATTGTTGCACAACCATGTACCCATTCACTGCTGGGTGAGCAGGTTAAGGTTTGCCACCTACTCGATCCTCTCCGGCCAGGATACGGACCAAAGCCAAATGGCTCACAAAGCCCCGCCAAATGCTTTTACCACAGGGACTGTTAAACCTCACTTACCTACAAGCTTATGGAGACAATCAAAGTGTGAGATTCATTCAGCATCTCTCAATGCACAATCTACTAAAATCAGCACAACTAAAATAACAAATTATTAGTTTTACTACAATTAAATCCTGTTTTACTAATGTGCTTACATGTTGGAGATATTAACCTGCTATTCAGATACTTTCGCTTTGATGTCCAAAGAGCTTGGAAAGGATGTGGGAGGAAGAAGGATACAAAGATTTCCCAGTAGATGTTGTATACATTGACTTCTCTAAAGCCTTTAATGAGGTACCACATGAATGACTGCCGAGGAAACAACAAACACATGTAATAAACTGTAAAGTACTGTACTAACATTTGAGAGGAGGGGGGGGGCCTCATGGGTGAGTGGATAGCACTCTCGGTTCATAGTCCTAAAGGTCTGGGTTCCATCCCTGGCGGAGGTGGAAACAAATGGCCACAGTTTCTTTCACCCTGATGCTTTGGTTCACCTAGCAGTAAATAGGAACCTGGGAGTTAGACAGCTGCTTGGGATGGGTGTGTGTAAAAATTTGGATTAAGGACTTGCCAGATATGCTATGCATGCTAGTGGTTGTACAATAAAGTAAGAACTCTTGTATATACTGTATAAATAAAACAAACAACAAGGGAAGAAAAAGCGTCAAAACAAAGGAAGTAAAAGGTCATCCTAAATGATTCTCACCAGAAAATGGGAAGTACAAGGTACTCTACTCCACTGTTGGGCCCAATAATTATTGTAATATACAGCAATGAGGTTATACATTAGGTAAAAATACTCTATTAAAAACCAAACGTTCAATGTAATGAAACGCCATTTTTGCCCCGAGCCCCAGAGCCTCCCTCAAGCTATTCAAACTGAAGTTTGGCCTCATTATCATTGGGCTATATTAATTTCGGGTCATCAGTCACAAGAGTCCTTATGCCTACTGCGAACCATGAGCCTGAACCTGGTCTCCTCAGAGAGGTGCAGAGACCAATGCCCTAGGAGCACTTGACATCTAAAGAATGTCAACCCAAGACATATTACCCAAGACAGCAGCATACTAGCTCACATCATAGGCATGAAAGCAGACCGCAGGCTGGCTAGACTTAAATACACCGCGGACAACCCAAGACACAGAAGCCCTGTAACAGGGGAACCACGGAAACCGCATCCACCAAGAGTGAGTCCACCGTCACCGAACCAGAAGCTTGCAGATAGCCATGTAATGACGCCACCTGACAACACACGATGCAACTTCGGCCTAACCAACCCTCCACAACCAACAAACCCCTCCAGAAGCCAACCCTCACATATATTGCTAGAAAACAAGGAGAAGCCTCAAAAACAAACCAAACTACCACCAGAACCAAACAAACAGAAATCCCCGTTACCATAGAAGAGCATGAACCTCCCCAACCCGACCCACACACACTAAAGGCAATAAAACAAGGCATTCCCAAAGTAATCACAAACCGAAAGAGAAGAAAGAAACGAAAGAACCCGCTCCAAGGGCTACATGACTCGGGTGTCGCATGACCAGATCCGAGGTGAAAAAACGCACAACACAACTTGTTGAACAGAGTAGAAGGGACACCCACCCCGAATGCAAGCTGCAGCAGCTCCACCAATCCCACACAAGAAGCAACAGTATTCGACATAAGATGCTAGTCCGGAAAAAACCCAAGAGAGATAAACGACAAGACAACCCTTCAAAGGGAAAGAATATGGTGGAAACACTGCCAAGAAACTTCAGACTGTCGTTGAGAAGATGACCATGGGTGGGGCATTATCAAAGCCACCTGATCACCATACAAATGACGATACACCTGCATCAGAAAAACCAGACACGAAGAGCGGAAGAGTAAGTCGAACCAGCGACATACTTACTTCACTGGCCTGACCTGCTGAAAGAGGCGAAGCCACAGAAAAACTCCCGGGGTTGAACACTGAGCAATCAGCGCCTGAAACCAAGACTGGGCTAGCCAACATGGGGCCAATACAGTGACCCAGGTTACTTGGCAGTTCACCAAGATCCCAGCAAGCTGAGAAAGAGCCAAAACCATGGCTAGCAGACCACCAGGGAGCCCACACAACCAGTCATCGAGGCAGGCTGCAAAACAAGAAGATACCGGAATCTCGTAACATACCCGATTAGTGCAAGAGGAACCGAACTCAAACAAAACTGGAGCCAACAGAGGTGTAAATCGGGTCTCGCAGGAGGTAAGCACTAAGGGCATCCCAAACCTTCCCATGGGAATGCCAAGAGGAAGAAACCTCCAAAAAGAAATCCGAGGAACCTAAGGGGCACCCAGAAACGAACCTTGCATGCACAATGTGTATTAAAAATGTCTCATTTTGGATAAAAATGAGCCCATCTAAAACAGCCGTAATACGAACAGGATACCAAGCGCCGTAGGCTAGGGAGTCGAATGAGCAGACTGGGCAACGTCACTAGGCACAACATCGGTATCCCAATAATAAAGAAAACATGCCAATGACCACAGTCTTCAAACACAAGACAAAGGTAAAACAATACAAAAGTACCACAGTCTCATAAACAAGCCAAGACTGCCACAGGTCGAAGCCGAGTCCCAAAGGAGCCACACACATCAGAAAGAACTTGTCCAGTGGCAGAGTAGTAAGGAAAGGGAATGCAAGAGGCAATGATGATGTGGAGGATGCAAATGCAGGAGCTCAAGAAGGTCAGAAATGTGTACACCAGTAAAATGACGGCCGAGAGACAGGCCCAAAGAGCCCAAGTGCAACCCCTGCAAACACAACTACAAAAGTACAACAAAGCGAGTACAAACTTATCAAAACTACAGACAACACCGGCAGTGATGAGGGAAGCACATACCAAGTCACACACCACCCCACCCATTTCATACCAAACCCACACCCGAGATATGTCACACAGAAATGAATGACTGAGGTACCGATAGGAACAAAAACACAATAATGAAATGAAAAATGCCCCAAAAGCGGGAAAGGAATGATAAACTTCTCACCGCCCAGCAGTCATATGCAAGGGTCGGGATGACAACAAACTCCAGCTGTGGGATGATGCACCACAACCAGTGCACTGCCCTGGTGGCCAGTTGTGGCAGCACAAAACATAACATTCAAAGTCACTAGCAAAACAATCCATATAACAAAACACTTGCCCAAAAATAACAACAAAACCACTGATCAGAAACGAGGTAAGAGCAGGGGTACCAAAAGCACTGTAAAATAACATGCAATAAATGTAACATGAATCAGACATTACAGTGCTTTTGGTACCACCTCCTCTTACCTCCTCTCTGATCAGTGGTTTCCTTGTTATTTTTGCCCAAGTGTTTTGTTATATTAAGTCGTTCGTTCTATTTTATATTCTTCCTTTGCAATTCAAGACATCCAAGCAAGAGATGGATGTATCAGACGCAAGGCTGTGTCAATCACGCCAGCAAATACGTGAATATAAATTCAGAAGGGACGAGAACAACCCCTCACCTGCAGCAACCACACCTGCACAGAGGACACAAGGGCCCAAACAGGGTTAAAAGGAGCCAAAGAGCTCAAACTGCAGTCCACCCCCCAAAGCCCTGGGAACCCCTGATAAAGGCCCCGGGACATAGCCTTCATCCATGCCCACCACCCCCAACAAAAGGTGGAGATCAGGATAAAAGCTTCCAAGAAGAAAGTCTACTGGGTTGACTCAAACGCCCCAGTGGGAAAATCAGGTCAACGACCTCCGTGCCCAAATTGGAAGGGGCAGCCCCCAAAGCTACCCAAGCCTCATCCCGAACTAAAACCCCTCCTGACCCCCAAACCCTCAGACATTTGGGAGCTGGAAACAGGGAGGGAGAAGCAGGGTGAACTACATCCACCTGGGAAGGGAGCGAGGCACAGAAGGAACCAAGGTCGAAGTGTCCAACCTGGTCAATTGTACAACTCCTGGTCCCGAAACCCAAGCGGAGCAGCTCCGGGGCCTCCAACCTGGCCAGTTGCAATAAAGAGATTCGTGTAAGCAACACACCTACTGCCTGATCTCTGAAATCCTCAGACAACGAATGGATAAATTGAAGCACAAGTGGGAAACATGTCCCGCAAGACTCTGGGGTCATTAGTGTCACCTACCCCAAGGGCACAAAGGGTGAATAAGCCATACAGGAAATTTAGGCACTGGGCCTACCCAAGCCTGTAGAACCCTGTCAGGCAAAAAGCTCACCACCAGGAGCAGCTATGATACCTTGGGGGCAACAGAGGAAGACCACGAACACAACCTAGGCTTGCCTAATAAGAAGCTAGGCAGACCACGTCTCCAGTAACAAAAAGCAAAAATACTAGAAGAAAACAAAACCCCATGAAGACACACAAACTGGCAGCCAGAGAGAATCGTCGACCGCTACGTGTACGTCGACCATTTTGTTTCGCCTGTCTTTCTGGGTGCACTTCCCGATCGATGGCAATTATGACATACTTTAAATGTATAGTGCTCATAGGCCATAATCCAAAACAACCAGAAGCATCCCTGGTCTAAGCCATCCAAATGTTCCCCAACTGGACAAACCATCCAAAAAGGAATGCAGATGTCCTCCCACCCCAAGTGGGATGATGAAAAGCATGAGAGCAGCCCCACCTGGATCTCCCAACACTAAATGGAGGCCAATGCAGCCCAAAGGCAGCAGACATCACGAGAGGCAGCTGCACACTCCAGCAACTGATGCATCAGAACTGTTACCCTAACTAGAAGTCTGAGAAACCCACGACTAACCATGATTCCCACAAAATGTATGAGATGGGATAATGTTTGCCAAATTAGTTGTTGTAGTAGCTAGAAAAACCCACTAGTGGACTTCATCACCATCTGCACTGCCTCCTCATTACTATAATTTATTAGTGAAAAAATTAAGCACATTGAGCCTTTTAATTTTTTCTTTTTAAGCGTGATTACTATGATTAAAGTCTAGGAAGGGAAAATTCTTAAGAATACAGTACTGTATATACATTTTTCCTTTTTCACAATATCACAAAATTCATAACATGTGGATTAAAGTTCAGATTAAATAGTATAAACAAACATTACTTATTTTCAGTTACTGTACATTCCAATAATGTTTCATAATACTGATGGATAGCTACATTCCAATATTATAATACTGACTGACATCAACAAAACATCTTAAACTTGTATCACTTTCCTTCTCTCCGTTATAAATTAGTTATAACTTACCTGTTCACTAACACAAAGTTGTATTCGTAACCTGTGACCTTCCCAATCAAGTCACGTAAGGCTTCCAGTGGTCGCGGCCAGGGCCGAGCAGGTCTTACAACACCGCTGTATTTGTAGGTCGTGCCAGGGTCACCATACGTTGCCTTGGACATAAAAGACGAGTCAACATAGTTGCCACATCACAAAATTAAGACACCGAATGAAAAACTTCCTTAGACATATTATTCATGAATTATATTTAGATTTTAGCATTCAGATGTACCATGCTGTATAATGCTTACAAATACATAACTTTTTTTACGTGAATTCTCCTTTTTACAAGTACAGTACACTGAACCCAAGTTATGCACAAATTCAGATTGACTGACTTCGATATACTTAATAGAAAAATACAAAACGGAACAATGGTCAGTTTGTTTGTACTCGAGTTAAGGTGCGATAGTTACACAACAAGCAGGTTATTTTGGTGTGCAATACAAAGCTCTGACTTTGTGACTCCCACCTATTCCTTAATGTTTTACTACCTCCTTTCTTATAATTTGAATCTTGCATCATAATACAGTGTATTACATTCTGTGCCTAATTATATACTGAATTTGCACCTGTCAAATGGCAGGAATATTATGCTAGGCATTTTAATTGAGAAACAGTTGATAGGTCACATTTTTTTGGGTTGCTGACAAACAACTGAGGTTAACCTGTTCCAAACTAGTTTTAATTTCAAGTGCATTTGCATGAGACAGACAGATATACATACATACACATGTACTGCAAAATTGGACATAAGCTTGCTGGACAACAGCAGACACTTTGTGCAGGAAAAGGGTTAATCATGAACTAGGTACACAATTGAGTTTTTTTTTATGGGAATGAACTCCTGATACCTCGCAAAGTTACATTTCTTCCACCATCTACAACATATATCTGTTGGATATTCCAAAATAATCCCACAAACAAATGCAGCACAAGGTACTGTATGTGTACACTCACCATTGATATAATCGATACACAGTAGAGGCTTTAGCAATTTGTTAATGCTATATGGGATGGACATGCCGCACCACCCGAGAATAAGCCCACACACTGAAGAAACCCAACTCCCAGGCCTCGGCTCATTAATTAAGTTTGCTTTCTAAATGTGACACTGTCATTCATTTCTTCATGGGGGGGGGGGGGGTTATGCCATTAGACAAGAGTAATACAGAAAGTGCATAAAACACAAGAGTACTGAATTGATTTAGACTGCTACCACCATATGCCTAGCTGTTGAAAGCATACTTCACATTTTGCTAATTATACACTATTTATACACACAAAAATCACAATACATATATGAACAAATGATTTGTTCATTATGCATTATCTGAATTTTCACAAATACAGGCTCCACTGTGCTGAGCAAGAGAATAAACTTACTATCAGTTTACACTATACCAAAAATATATATACAGTAGTACAGTATATATATATATATTATAGATTACAGTATATAACAAATACTGTACCTGTTTCCTGGGTACATCATGCCATTTGCCAAAGATACGAACTTTAGCAAGATCTCCAGTGAAATAGTCCAATTCCTCTTCAAACACCTGCAGTAGGGAACTGGCAACATCAGATTGCAAAAGTAATGTATATTCTATGTCAAGATTGTTTTTCACAATTTTTCTCCACTGTAAACTTTGTCGTCCAACACTGGGAAATGACAAGTTCACATTCTTGTACATGCAAGTTGAATTTGGTTCAATTTCATCACCTTCCTTCACAAACTCACACGATGCAGTGTAAGCCTTATCATCCAGTTTTCTTTTATTCTTGTCATTAGGTTGTTGTACTAAACATTCCTCTAATCCTCTTTTTAACTCTGGGATATTTTCTATCGATGGCTTTCTTCCGAGAATTTCACCACTGGAAGCCAGTTGTTTGGTTTTAATCACATAACGGTTCATACTTGGCTAACTCAGCCTTACTGAAAAAAAAAAAACATTCAAATAATTAACATTGTATTATTTACCATACTGTACATCATCATGACTAACTAACTCTGACTAACAACAAGCTGACTAACTCTAGGCTACCTATTTGCTATTTGGTGAACTGGACCATTAGGTGGTAGGATATGTACCCAACCATTTCTGTCCCGCTCGGGATTTGAACCCAGGATTCTCGATTGCGAGTCAAGAACAAACCCAATTGTACTACTCGGGATGCGTGTATTCTTATCGTTTGTATAGGTTAGGTAAGAAATTCCATAAGCAAACCATAAGCTGTACCCATTAACTTGCCAAGGATTCCACAGCTTACACCGACATAGTGATATAACCCATTCTTATTTTGTCTTAAAAATAAACATTAGTCCATTACAGAATCATTTTTGGATACATGGCTATCTCCACACAAAGTCAAATTAATAAGCAATATTTTGCTTCCAAGTTGGTTATAGGTCACGTCTATAATAAAACATGCTCTCTTATGCTAGCATAATCAACAATCAAACATAATATCAACTGACAACTACTATACAGTAGTGTTAAGGTCACATTCACCTCATCCGTGATTGATACTGACATGGCCTCGGAGTTTGTTTACATTGATTTTGACATTTCTTTACACCAATACAAACCATTAATAATAATAATTAAATTATTATTAATGGCATTATTAACCCTTATCGCAAGTGCCCTCACCTATCTCTTGAGCCACACGTCTCTGGACTACAGCAGGTGACGCTGTGGGAGCAATATTCGACTCCAGTAATCCCCATCTGTCTGAATTCAAAGGCGAGCCGAGAACTACGGTACACATTTTCCTTCAGATGCGGAATAGAAAACGTACGGTACAGTCTGAAGTCAAACTATGTGTTATGCCTAAGTATACCTTACTTCATGTAAAGATATACACCGTTTATATTACTCATGTGACTCTGATACTTGTTTCAACTTATTTATTTATTTTATTTATATAAATTGATATACACAAGGAAGTTCAACATGATTGAGACAAGTACAACTTTTGGGATTAAACTGGTATATATTTTTGGAAAACCATTACAACATTAGCTAAGTCTACATGGCTGGTGACACTGACTCTGTGTGACATCTGATACTAGCCGAATCTATGTGACTTCTTACCTGAGAGCCACTAACACTAGTGGCCTCGACGAGAACAGGAAGCCGGTGGCTTGTCGAAGGTCCTTCCATTTGCCTTGATGATCTTTTCAAGCAGAACGTTAAAGATTAACAGAGATTTCGCTTCGGTGGGTAGGCAGTTCCATGGGTTAATAACCCTGTGGGTGAAAAAAGCATCTCATGTTCTCAGTCTTTTCACAAATGCAACAGGAGTGATTTTTCACCCATGGGGTTATAAACCCATGGAACCACCTACTTGCTGAAACCGCAAATGCCAAAATAAATTTATAATTTAAGTTATAGCTCGACAAAATAATCACGATAAATGGAGGGAACTTTTCACAAGTCGACGGCTTCTTGTCCTCGTCGAGGCCACTAGAGAGATGGTAGCCCCTCAGGTAAATTCAGAACATCAACCCTACCCATCCCCCAAGACAAACGGGACTACCCTATACTGATCAAATGTTTACATACATATCGTCCAATAAAGTATATTTACAATATACTCAATGTGTCAGTTAAAATTTTGCAATAATTGTTATGATTTAACCAATCAATGATTTACAATTTCAAACAACCTTTGCAGAAAACCTATTACACTAGACAACAAATCATGCAGGGCAGAATAGGCTAGATCAGCATCATCTTGCTCGGCTTGTATATTAATGACGGCTTTCAAAATTAACTCCAAAGAATCAGTTACAGCGGCAAGCGAACACAATTCAACCTTAGCTCCAATACATTTTCAAAATAAAAGGTTAACCAGGACTTAATGCATCAATTAATTATTATAATTAGGCAATAATTAAACTTCACATACGAGGCTCTTGGTCAAATTATAGCTTCAATTATGGCTTATGTTTTTCTTAACTGTTGAGAGTAGTTGAAAAATGAACTCTCCAAAGTTAATTTATGGCTTCAAGTACCAACTGGACCACTGCAGGCTTGTTTAGTCATGTTTTCTTTTAACCATTGATACTTCAGTTCGTTTCACTTATATTCACGGGTTTATATATATATATATATATATATATATATATATATATATATATATATATATATATATATATATATATATATATATTGTGACGATAATCTCCTTCAAGAGATTGAGCCTGCTCTTCCTTCCACAAATACGTCGTTACAAATATATAAAACTACTATGGAAGAAATGTCCAACAACGACAACAACATCTCCAAGGTTTGCCAGAGAGCAAAACGTATGCAGCCAGGAACACCTGCTCAGCCTCAAACCGCCAAACTACCTGTCTTGTTGCCGGCTCCTCGCTGATTGGCCGCCTGTCTGGCTGCAACTGCACTCCACCCACCATACTACTTGATGTCTGGGGCCGCCACGACCTCAGTCCTCAGAATATTCAGTGCTTTCATACGGTTAACACTTCATCCTGGTAGACTGAGCTCTGGCTTACGTGTACTAAGAGAGGTGATAGCTTAAAGCCAATATTCCTGCACCTCTCATTTTTATTGTATATTGCACAGCTTGTTATTGCTCACTTGTCTTAACGTAACTTTTCATTTTGCCATTTAATTATTCTTATTATTTTGATTGATTGATTTTATTATACGAATTTGTATGTCCATTTTATTCATGTTTTGTTTATTTAACGTAATTAAAATTTCATTGTTAAAATTTACTTGTGTTTTGTGTGTCTTCTCCTTACCTTACCACAGACGAAGTTCCAGATTTTCTATTTTTTTTTAATTCTATGTGACGAGGCCATACCCCTAGCTTTGAACAGCCGAACACCAACGCGTTACCGTCACAATATATATATATATATATATATATATATATATATATATATATATATATATATATATATATATATGTCGTACCTAGTAGCCAGAACGCACTTCTCAGCCTACAATTCAGGGCCCGATTTGCCTAATAAGCCAAGTTTTCATGAATTAATAGTTTTTCGACTACCTACCTACCTAACCTAACCTAACTTTTTCGGCTACCTAACATAACCTAACCTATAACGATAGGTTAGGTTAGGTTAGGTAGGGTTGGTTAGGTTCGGTCATATATCTACGTTAATTTTAACTCCAATAAAAAAAATTGACCTCATATATAATGAAATGGGTAGCTTTATCATTTCACAAGAAAAAAGTTAGAGAAAATATATTAATTCAGGAAAACTTGGCTTATTAGGCAAATCGGGCCTTGCATAGTAGGCAGAGAAGTGCGTTCTGGCTACTAGGTACGACATATATATATATAAAATGGCAGCACATAACGTCCCAGACAGTGTAATACAGTAATTACAAGAATCAGGTTAGGCTACCGTTACCTGAGGCAGGTGGCTCAGAATCTCCCATCCTGAGCGCTCCATGTGTCAACTATGTGAGCAGGAACTATGGTCATACTCTCTAACATTACATTAATGAATATCCAGTCATTAGAATCTGTTAGACTCACCAGTATGAGATATATCCACAATTATGCAATTGCTTCATCCACTCCTTTGGATATTCTTTGAGTGTTCTTTGAGATATTCCTGTAATCCATCAAAATATTTACTAGTGGTGCCATGTAGACTCCACCCAAATGCATAATAGACCATCCTACAAGATTGGGTAAGGTAATTATCAAGAGAAAGGTATAACAATTGAAAAGGATATTGAGGATTTCTTATGTTTTTCTTCACTGTTGAGAGTAGTTGAAAAATTAATTCTCCAAAGTTAATTTATTTAGAGGGAGGAAAGGAATGGTGCCCAACCACTTCAACGGTCGGGAATCGAACGCCAACCTGCACGAAGCCAGACCGTCGCTCTACCGTCCAGTCCAAGTGACTGGAGAAAGAGCTAAGACAGTATGACTATAAATAGCTCCTGTCAGGGATATGAGACAAACTAAAAGCTCGATATATAATTAGGAGAAAGCGCTATATGATTATGACTATATACCATTTTGATTATATAATAACACTAAGAAGGGATAGGAGAAGGGAGCGAATTATCAGGGGAAAGCGTCAAGCCATTACACTGGGAAGGGGTCAGGATATTTGGGATGGGACGGGGGGAAGGAATGGTGCCCAACCACTTTGACGGACGGGGATTGAACGCCGACCTGCATGAAGCAGGACCATCGCTCTACCGTCCAGCCACTTGGACCATCGAGGATTGAACGCCGACCTTGTTCCAACAAGTTCGAGTGGGTACTTGGGTCAAGGAGATGGGAATTTTATCACCATACAGAAAACTCTTCACATAAACTCCATAACCTTTCAAATGGGATATAACAGCTACATAAATAGTGAACAAACATATCTTTAGCCTGGGACCGACTAAAATGCCTAAATCTGTATCGTCTAGAGCGTAGACGGGAGAGACCCGGGAATCGAACCTGGGATCTCCGATTGCGAGTCGAGCACGAAGGCCACTGAACTACGAGACCCTGCTATGCACCCTATATACCCAGTATGTAAGCGGTAGGTGACAAGGTTACATATTGCATGGGGTCCTGTATCACAGTGGTCTATGTTTTCGGCTCACAACCAAGGGTCTCGCTTCATGCAGGTCGGCGTTCAATTCCCGACCGTTCACCAAGTGGTTGGCCACCATTCCTTCCCCCCGTCCCATCCCAAATCCATATCCTGACCCCTTCCCAGTGCTATATAGTCGTAATGGCTTGGCGCTTTACCCCTGATACTTCCCTTCCCTTCACAACCAAGGGACCCGGGTTAAATCGCAGGGCAGGACAGAAACGATTAGGCACGTTTCAGTTTACACGATGCTTCAGCTCATCTAGCAGTAAACAGCTACCCGGGAACTACGCAACTGTTGTGGGTTGCATCCCGGGGAACGTCAATAGTTGGTCTAAGGAGACCTCAATAAGTACAAGTTCAGGCTTCCTGTCCAAGACAACGGGAATTACATATTATAATTGGACTTTTTGGTTTGGAGTTGGACTTAAAGGCCTATCAAGTTCCTAATGGTTACTAGTGCCACCGTAATTGCTTAATTCTCCAACCCGTCCTCCTAACACAACGTCAAATTTTGACGTATACTTGACATACTGTCAAGTAACGTCATACTTGACATACTGTCAAGTATACGTCATACTTGACAGTATTATACGCGAAATTGACATATTGTCCCGTTTTCTGTTTTGGGTCCTCTGGTAGGTTAGGATAAGGCCACTTTAGTAGGACAGTTTCTTGACGTTGGAGACACCTTAAGAGGACGACCTGGAACACTTACCTGCACTTGCTATACTCAAGTAATTTCTCAGTGTATATACACCGACAAGCTGAATACATATCGAACAAATCCACAAGGGCCGTGACGAGGATTCGAATCTACGTCCGAGAGCATCCCAGACGCTGCCTTAATCGACTGAACTACGACATGGTCAAATAATTGAAACCAGATTCAAGCCTGGCCTCGGGCCGGGCTTGGGGAGTAGAAGAACTCCCAGAACCCCATCAAGCAGGTGTATGTGGGCTTGCGGGCCGCTACAAGCAACAGCCTAGTGGACCAAACTCTCACAAGTTCTGGGGAGTAGAAGAACTCCCAGAACCCCGTCAAGCAGGTGTATATAAAGTTTTTAACACAAACCAGCTTTCTCGAATGGTCTGGTGTACGATTTGACCCCCAGCTCCACCGCCGTGTTTGTATACATACCTCGGCGTGCAAGAAAAACACAAAATGTACTCACAACACC